ATGGAGTTTCTCATCCCTGTGTTCGAATAAGACGTTAAATTTGTCTGATTAACTGGGAACAGTTGTTTTCCTCCTTGTTTCGGTTTCCAGGCAGATCATGGTGTCAGTTGATATTAAAGAGCTCGAAGGTCTGCGCTATGAGTATAAAGGCGCTTAATCACCCTGCATATAGCACGGGAGTTTCTCTCCTTGCTTTGGAGGAGGATCATTCACACATGGCACGATAGTGGTTATGGAGCCACACCATGGGCGGCGGATGGCGGGTGTTGCATATCTGTCGGCCTTCGTGCTTTCAATCGTTGAATGCTTCAGCCATCGAATCGCGCGTAGCCCACATGAGACCCCATGAACGCTGCGGCAGTTTTCTGCCTGACTGATGCTTATATGAGATAACTACTCATCAACCAAGAGCTACGGCCTTGGCATCTGCTTACTCTCTGCATGACTGCTGAAGCGACTCCCTGGGTCATGAAACATGGAACGAGAAGCAGAAACGAATTGTTTACGACTCTCTTTAGCGGTGTGATTAAGGATTTCTTCATAGGACTTAAAGGATCCTGACATTTTGTTCAGAGCAGCGCTAAATGAAATACATTAAGGTTTTCGATTTTGATAATTAGATTGACGAGCACGGGAAATAAAATAAAACTCCAATTACGATTATTTTCGCTTGCCAAAATTGGCGATAGCTATATGTATTGACTGCTTATCAAACAATACTATTCGCGAGATTGTATTTGACTTAAGTTAATGAGGAGGAAGAGAAAAAGAAGACAGATACAAGGAGGGAACATGTCAGAACTTCGGCAAAATCAAGATACATGAGCAACCGCACTAACCTTCGTTTCTTGGTATTAAACTGAACGTCATAAAAAAGGAGGGAACTGGAACTGGGACTAGGATACTACATGACACCACATATCAAGGGTTAGTGCCCGGATGGCTTTGGAAAAAAATATCGCTACATCTCTGGAGCCACAATTTAACTCCACCCGTCACTTTCATCTTCTTCGCGACCACGACCCTCTGCCCAGCGCACAGCCATCATTTTCGCTTTGCGATTCCTCTCCGCCTCTGTCATAGGATGTGACTGGCTTTCGAGTCTTTCAGGTGGTGAGGGCTGAGACTGGGTATTGACGGTAAGTGTACCTGGTGGATTTCCTCCGCCCTTTGCAGTGGCTGGTGATGAATTTGGAGGTAGAGAAAGTTCATTGGGCGTAGAGGATTCCATATCAACATCCTCAGCATTAACAGCGGGGTGAGAACTAGCTGTTGAAGGATGGCTTCGGTCCCGTTCCCGTTCCCGTTCGGGTTCTCGTTCTGGTGCTCGCTCTGGTTCAGGTGATGTGGCCTCTAAGACGGGAGCGTTTGCCAGGGATGATTCATTATTATGCCGGGTAGAAGAAACACGCCGACCCGATCTCCTAGTTCCTGTTACATGAATCGAGTTCTGTTTCCCCGCATTCGTTGGCGGCTGGTCCTCCTCGCTCGAAGGGTCTATCACTTCCATATATGTAACTTTGGCTCTACCTCGTTTCCTACCAGGTTTCCCCTTGGGCTTCCACTGGCGCTGCTTTCGTAATTTTCGTAATCTGAAATCATCGTCGTCCTCTGGTCTATAAGTTTGAAGTCTATCTGGCTGGGTTCGATTGGTGTACTTGATCGCGTTAGCCGATAAAATATCAGACTGTATGATTGCATTACTGGACAGATCAACCACACCATCCATACCGAATTCCTGGTAGGAATTCACGTTGGGATGTTGAACTAATCCATTATTTTGACTATTAATGTCCATCGCGGTTTTGTTTGCTTGGTCTTGAGCCGCACCAGGAGGGGTGGTCTCTGGGTCCGGATATTCGAATGTGATAACCTCTGTTGCTTCGTAGCGATCTGACATCTCTTCCTGGAACATAGCGTTATCCGGCATAGCGAAATGAGGGTTAGGGGCAAGAGCTTCATACTGCCCAGACATCATGGCCGGATCGATAGGAATCGCCTCTTCCTCAGCGACGTTGAAGTTACTTAGAGTCGGGTCCACTGGAATGTTTTCCTGTCTTGCCAATCTAAGGATTCCTCCTTCCACTGGATCCATATAGTGTTCGTCAAGTGTCGGGTCAATAGATTTGGCTTTTTGAGCTTCCTCCAGTCTTTTCCTGATTCTCCGTGTGTCTTGATTTTGTGGATGATCACCCGCCTTTTTTAGCCAAGTCAAGTTTGATTGACTGAAGTCGACGAGGCTTTCGACACTTCTCGGATCCGCCACCTTTCGGGTATCATGGCCAAGCAAAGTTCCAGAGGGTTCAAAAGGTTTCATCGTAGGATCACGGCGACAAGCCCCACACGAACAAATTTTTCGACATCTTGGGCATGTCCAGTTCGGATTTTCCAGAACAGTGCGGGGAGAGATCTCAAAAGCTCTAAAAAGACTACCGTAACAGTAGTTTAATCCACATGTAGAGCAGGATGCCTGTTTCCAGGAAGGTTCCGGAGTTTTGCAGATATGACAACTTCCATGCTCCTTTCTCCATTTCTCCGATCTTCGAATCTTACGACGCTTTCGAACCCGCCCATCATCATTGGTTTCAATAATATCTTCTTCCTCCTCCTCACGGTCCGGCGTTTTGGTAATGTCAGTCCATGGCCTCCGTTTCAGTTCTTCTTGGCAAATTTCTGCGAGGGTCTTTTTGCCCGTACGTTCCCTTTCAATAGGCAGAGTCTGAGGTAACTGGGAGGGATCACTGCGTTTATCAAATTGAATGATTTGGTTTCTCCAGGTATCATAATTCCGCACCAGGTCTTTCCACCGAAACTGTTCAACCCATCTAAGCTTGGAAACGCACGCGCAGCTTCTCCCGATAGAATAACACTCCATGCAAATATCGTATGTATCATCATCACCATCAGGTAGCTTTCCGACGCATGAAGGGCAGGTCAAAAATCGATTGAAAATGTTACATCTGCAATATGAACATGTGACATTGCTATTGAAAGGAAGATATTCAACATTCCTCGGCTCTGACATGTTTCTCGAATAGCTTTCAGATATCAATATTTTGGTGTAGAGTGAAAACAAGCGTCGGAAATCCTTCTGAAGCTGGCGTATGTTATGGGTGTAGTGACCGTGGTGAGTATCACGGAGAAGAGTGGAATATTTGTTGAGAGTATAATAAACAATAGCTTTGTTTTTATACTGCTCATCGCGACAAACCATTCTTGCCTTTGGAAGAGCCTCATTTATAGCCATTTCCAATGTTTCAACAGTGGTCCTATTCCACGCAACTTTCATGGTCCGAGTTCCTCTATTCCAAACTTGATGTGGAGCAAGAGGAGGAATGAGGATTAAATCGCCGACTCTTTGCTCGACAATATATGTTTTAAAAGGCGCAGCCTTCCAGGCGTTGATTTGGGCGAAATGATTCTCGATCTCAATGTCGTGCCCAAGCGTTGATAACCAGTATTCGGAGACCAGGTGTCGATCCTTCGTTTCCGTCATGAACCAAATCGAGGAGCCTGGTTTGGTGGGCTTACCATCCTCCACTGAACCAGTCGAAGTTTCCACCATGATGTTATGACCTAGTGTAGCGCACATTTCACGATGCGCCGGTGTATAGGTACCCTCATGCCCAATGTAGCACATCAGATTCTCAGCCCTCATTTCAGGGGGAAGACTGCTCATCAAGTCTCCGGCTTTGCTTCCTCTCTCATTTGTAGACTCGTTTAAATAATATAGAAATGGAGGAAGCAAATCTTTCAGTTTCTCATACCAAACCGAAGGGCAGTCGATATCTTTCAAATAAATTCGTTGGCGGTTAGTATCCTTGTAGTTTTTTGCATTCCACTGGTCGGTGAGCAGCGACATGTTCTTCAAGTAGTGGTTTATGGAAAGGGGTAAGTTCGATTTAGTGGTTAAGTTCCTCGCGTTCTCGACTATTTCACAGGATTTGTTAGATGAAAAAAAAGTACGCATTGGATCTAAATATCAAGAAGTGCATGACATACTCTTGGAGCCGTGGTTATCTTTCAACCACTGAAGCCCAAATATCCATTTCTCTAGTCGATCCTGATACCCTTCAATGACCAATGGCCTCCCGCCTATGATGACATGCAGGAGGACCAGCTTTTCGAAGTTCTCAATCCCCTGTTCAATAATCGCATCGCAATGGATTCTAACAACATAGTCGAAATTGGGGGTTGATTCAACGAGCGCAACAAGGTCGAGGTCTGGGGATATGGGCTCGAAAGCCGCTCGTGGGTGACTAGGGCTGGGCATCGCGGCGGTAATGATGGGGAGGGGTTATCTCGAAAGTACCAATGTATCAAAAAGAGGTTCGGTTCGAGGGTCGGGATGACGGCGCATTCCAGTTCATCCCAAGCTAGCAGAACGACTGGTGGCTGCTGAGGAGAAGCTCTACACATGAGTGCAGTGCGCTGCGTACACAAGGCGCGTGACAGTCACTTGGCTGCTTTACAACGCGGTACCTATGCTTAGTCATGTGACAATAATCATCAACATATGTACTCCGTAGAAGTAGAATCTACAGATTACTCTGTAAAATATCTTAAAATTATTATATTACAATTGACTTATAATAATAAGTTTAATCTCAATGTGATTTTAGAACAATGTTCAATCATTTCAAAACCTCTGGTGACTTGCATACATTTGTTCCCATGCATCGCATCTGTGTCAAGTCCCGACCACGTAACTACCTCTTAGTCATTCCTGTCAAGACAAGCGACAAAAAGATACCTCGCGGCTAGACGAAATGGATTGATAGCCCGGGAGGTGTGTTGGGTCACGTGGCCACATTGTAGGGCATCTGGCTAACACCTAAGTTTCAAGGTTGGGATTTATATACATACTCATTATTACCATTTATCATAGTTTACCTAATTGCTTACTAGGAACCTTTCGGATTGGGTTTACAGCTCGTCGACAGGATAATCAGAATACCTCAACCCCCTGCATTTCGCGCGTTGCGACCTCATCGGCAGCTATGAGGATATTTTCTTGTCGCCAGTTTCCTCTACACCTGTATTCACTACCAGAGTTCGCGCCAGTTTGCAAAACGAAAACTAGATTAAGTTGTCAATACTATGTATTACGGCACAATCAGTTGCAGTCCCGTGCATCACACAGTAAGGGACATAGGAGCCCGACCAACACCACCGATCTCATCACAAAAGGAAAATTGGGTTTACTACCGGTCAGACACATATCCTCGTCATCGCGAACATTGCACCCGTCATCTTCACTTTCGCCGAAACCCTCTCCGACTTCGCAAACACCAAATGTGAAATACACGCCGCCAAAAACAGGGTTGCTAAGCGTGCTCCCCAAGCCGTGGATTCCATATGCGGAGCTGATTCGTCTTGATAAACCAACAGGAACATATTATCTGTTCTTCCCTTGCGCCTTTTCGACGCTACTTGCCGCACCCCTAGCGTCACCAATGGCGCATCCCTTGGAGGTTGCGTCAGTATGCGCCATGTTCTTTGTGGGTGCTCTGGTCATGCGAGGAGCTGGTTGCACCATCAACGATCTATGGGACAGGAATTTAGATCCCCATGTCGAAAGAACCAGGCTACGGCCTATAGCAAGGAAAGCGATATCGCCGCAGAATGCACTAGTTTTCACGGGCGGTCAGCTTCTAGTGGGTTTAGGCGTTCTCCTTCAGTTCCCTACCACGTGTCTGTGGTATGGCATTCCAAGCTTATTGTTTGTGGCTACATATCCCTTGGCCAAACGAGTGACGAACTATCCTCAGTTTGTCCTGGGGTTGACTTTCTCATGGGGAGCTATGATGGGATTCCCTGCCCTGAATATAGATGTTCTGGGAGACACAAATGTCATGCTAGCAGCATCTATGTTGTATTCGAGCTGCGTAGCGTGGACTGTGCTATATGATATGATTTACGCACATATGGACATCAAATATGATGCCGCTGCTGGCATTAAGTCTATTGCCTTGAAACATGAACACAACACCAAGGCCATACTCTCTGCTTTGGCTGTAACCCAGGTCGGTTTGCTAGCAGCAGCTGGCGTGGCTGTGAATGCCGGCCCCATTTTCTTTATTGGAAGCTGTGGTAGCGCTATTGCCTCCCTCGCCACGATGATATGGAAAGTCAAGTTGAAGGATGTTGAGGATTGTTGGTGGTGGTTTAAGAATGGCTGCTGGATTACAGGTGGTGGAATAACCCTTGGATTACTGGGCGAATATCTCGCCCAGGTCTTTGGATTGTATGAGACTACCGATTCCGCGATTGAAGGAAACCAGGGCAAGGAGGAACTATAATTAATGACATGGGGCAATTTTAGTTGCTTTAATGATGATATATTTTGTATTATTATTTATGCCCTGACCGATAGTTAATACCTTCGTCCCCTCCATTAGAATCCACTGTTCACTTATGTTTTTCGAGGTTGTGCTGTGCGTGTAGGACTACGTATATATTGTAGGCTACTGGGGCAAAAGAGCTCAATCACCACCAGCGCCTGCTGGTAGAAGGGCCGACCAACCGCGGGACCCCCAACATATATTCATAGTTCACTTGCGGTCCCTGTAACGCTGCTTGGTCAGCAGTCTGATTTCCGCAGTGGCGCTGGTTTTAGCGCGGCTTGAGTTAGTTAATCCAATGGCGGCAGCTTGAATGTCAATCCATGGATTAAATTGACAACCACGCTGCGCCTACAACTTCCTACCTCTCATTATCACCCATTTACCGTATTTCTTTCTTGAACAAAAGACATCGCTTTAGACTTTAACAATGGCTGCTAGGATAGGCATGAGCCCTGTGAGTTTATTATTCCCCGGCGATCGCGAAAATTCCTACTTCCCACCAAGACCCAGAAGAAGTCTAACAATTATGTCATGTCATTATAGCTTTTTAGGGCTCTCCCCAGGCCGACATCCGCTTTCCGCAGACCGCCGCCATTCCTAAATACTCTCCCATCCCAGATCCGCCTGCTTTCCGATGAAACAAGAGCTGCCATTGACAAAGCAGTGGCATCTGCGCCGGTTGTTTTGTTCATGAAGGGTACCCCAGAAACGCCGCAGTGCGGATTCTCAAGAGCAAGCATACAAATTCTTGGACTCCAGGGAGTAGATCCGAGGAAGTTCACCGCATTCAATGTTTTGGAGGATCCGGAGCTGAGGCAAGGTAAGCGCTTCTCTTCCGTCTCTTTCCGCAGTTCGGACCGTGGCCCCAAATCGTTGACAGATCAATGATTGACAAACCCTTTCTTTCTATGCTGTAGGTATTAAAGAATATTCGGACTGGCCCACAATCCCGCAGGTGTATCTAAACAAGGAGTTTATTGGCGGTTGCGACATCTTGATGTCCATGCATAAAAACGGGGAGCTCGCGAAGCTCCTGGAAGAAAATGGGGTCCTTATTCCTGCCGAAGCGGAAAATGAAGCGCACAAAAAATGAGAAGCCCCGAGAATCTACGTTATGAAAAGATAAATCACGAAAACCTTGGTCCCAGCAGGATCTTTTGTACTATAAATTCTTTCTATTTTGTGTTTAGCTAAACTGTCAGATTTCTCTACTTGATGCGATTCCCCCTTCTTCCTATTGGCAATAATTGATGCCTGGGTTTATTGTCTCGATATGCGCTGTACATATTTAGATATACAGTGCACAGTTAGCAGATTAGAGAGGGAAATATGCCTATATACCTATGTATTGGTTTCCTTGAAGGGTACACGTATTCCTCTCTAGCAATGTTTGGGTTTGTCTGCATTGTGGTGTTGGTTTTGATACCACTACTTTCCCAAGAGCCCCAAGCTGAGGTAACCTCCACCACGGCGCTTGGGCTACTTTACATTCATCTAATGAACCCAACTCGCTTCTTCAACCCTAGACTTACTGCTCCTTTTCTTTCCTTTCCTTTCACAGTTTCTATCTCCTATCCTACTCACAATACATTGCTCTCTGGGAGTAGCTAGAGGAAGAAAGGGGTCTGTCACCTGTGGATCCTTTACCCTGTTTTCACTTGGCCCATTCCCACTGAAGGCTCAGAAAAGATGTCACGTACTCGTGGAAAACAAGTAGTGTCTATCCGTGGCATTTTTGGGCGAAAAGTTGCACAGAAAGATGCTTCTGTCCGTAGACCTGCCGCCTATTACAACATGAGAAGCCGGAAGTATCCTCCTCCACAGAAGTCAAGTGGTTCCAAAGTCTCAAAGGGCCCGAAACGGTTCACATCGATCCAGTTCGGACGTCGCAACCTGAAAGGCGCAGACTCATCAATGACTATCAGCAGTGGTACCTCTGGTTCAGACGGACAGCGTCTCCTCCATGACTTCGTTGGTGCGTCTAGCTATGAATTTGTTTTGTCCACATGATCCTGGCTGCTAATGACGCTCTCCTGAAAGACTCCATCAACACCACACACTCCCAAATCGAAGAGGATATTTCTAAATCGCTGGTAGAAGCAGAGAGAGCGTTAGAGAAGCGAGTCGCGCAGAGAATCTCGGAACACGACGAGAAACTTGAGCTTTCGCGCGCTACGCGTGCTGCTATCTTCTCCCCCCTGGAGCCAGAATCTCTGAAGAGTGCAGCTTCCCTAGCTAAAAGCAAGGATAAAATCCATCTCGCCGACGTTTGCAATATACTCAGCCCTACCGAAAAGGCTCTGAAGGGCCACTGGAAAGCATGGGCCAAAACCCAGCAGAAAATTGCCTGCTTGGCGGTTGAGATACTCGGCCCTGAATCCGTGGCTCTCCCACAACCTACGAGAGAGGCCATGGGTTCGGGGGCATTTAAGAAGAGACTCGCCAGCGCGGCTGATGCGTTCGAGAAGCAGGAATCCGTAGAGCTAAAGATGTTGGCAGATGTGCAGAAATGTAGGGATGATATCGCCTGCCTGGCAGGGGAGATGAGGAATCAGGTTACCGCTCAGGAAAAGGTATACTATATTCCATCCTCAGCTTTTATGTTTTACACTTCTTTCTGCGCTTGGCGAAGCCGGACATTATAGCCAATGAATTAATTCTTTTTTCTTTTCCTTGTAGAAATCGCGAGACGGCAAACGGAAGCAGAGAGAAGAAATCTGCCAACTGGCTAGGAAGATGATTGCGAATATATGACCTGACCTCATCGATGGTGGAATTCACAATTGATTAAGGGGAAAAAAGAAAGAAAATTAACGAAATGCTTTGACTTATATTCTTATGTTATTGCATCAGTTTCCTACGCCAGAACTTGTCTATGGTGCTCTCTCCCAACTTCTATCACCTATCGCTGCCCATGTGCTTTTATCCTTTCCGTTTTTTTCACCCTCAAAAAGGTAAAATGGTGTTATATAAATACTAATCAGTATCGAGATATCATGTAGATTCTTATATCATGAATTATTTAAATTCTCGTCTTTCTACAAAATTAATATCATTCAAGACATTTTCGTTGTTTCCGTGGCGATAAAATCTATTGCGTTTGTTGCCGGAGAGAACAATCTTCCCAGTGGTTTTGGGCGATCGACGGAACAGCGGCAGAATGCTTGCCCCTTGCATTCAGTTTCTGGAGGACGCACCCTTTCCTATTCGGGCTAGTTTCCGGCATCCATCGATTTACCCCTATTCCCGCTGCTGCTGCTGTTGCTGCTGTTGCTGCTATTTCCGCTGCTGCTGTTGTTGCTGTTGCTTTCTCAGCTTCTTCCTTGGGCCTGGAATTTCGCTTTCACTGGGCCGCCTTCAGTAGCTTAGGTTCGCTGTCTCTCCTCAAATGCCTCCCGGCTTCTTCAGGATCCGCTGCACAATCTCGCCAGCGTTCACATGCTCGAAAGAGGTGAGAATCTACTTGTCTGAAAATTCCTAGTTTTGATGGAGCAATGTATGGATCATATGTGAGGGGTATAAATGTTTGTGGGACCGTGGTAGACCGCATCAGGCATGCCAAATGGTAGAGCTTTGAGATATTCAATGTTAGGCGTAAATGGAGCGCAGAATATAACGGCGTGGACGTACTATATGTGAGCAGTTAGTTTGCTTCCTTTTGCGTGTCATATCCTCGGTATCGGATCGAGAAAGAAAATAAAAATAAAAATAAAAATAAATAAATAAATAAAGAGTGGGTATACACATACACGACACTGGAGAACGCAAAGTCCGCGCTCAAAAATATTCATGATCGGGTAATTCAGGCCCTTCCAGTGATTGATGACTTCGTCGTCATGGACGCCGGCCACAATATAGGCTGGACCGTAATCTTCTCCATATTCCTTTACTCTGTTGTCAACGTTCTCTGGAAGGTACCAGCCACGACGAGTTGCGTCCTCAGCTTCAATCGCGAGGACACGGCGAAGAAATTCGATATGGCCGGAAGAAAATAAATCAAAACCGCCATCAACGTAGGCGATCCGCTGGCCTGGTTTTGGTCCCTTGCCATCAACGAGGTGCTGGAAACTACCTTGTTCCGTGCTAGTATGCTGGAGTTTTGCGGAGGCCGAGGCTTCCCAGGTCCACACATCGGGTCCCGGGTTTAAGCCAGTTTCATCAGTTGCATAGTCTTTAATTCTCTGGAGAGATTCACTGGCAACTTGCTTCCGCTCCTCATCGCTCCCCGAGCCCTCCTCCCCCCTCAGGAATGCAGGGAAAGACTTGATAAAATGGGTGCGTGTGCAAAGAAGCATCCTGCCGACCAGATCCGTTGTAGAAATGCCGGGGGTACGTTTCACGACCAGAAAACGCCCAGCAGCTTTGACAAATCTGTAGCAGTCATCCCCATTACTATCGGAAGTGATATCATCTCCATGGACAACATAGTAACAGCCATAGTGGGAGATCCACGGTAGCTGCGTGACATATGGCGCATGAGGAATTGACTTTGATGCCCAACGACATGCGTCAACTGCGGATACTCTTTTTCCGATGCCACCCAAACGTCAGTAATAAGTTTCCCATGCCGGTTGAAAGAACAGAGGGCGGACGGACGGACCGTTCGGAGAGTGTCATGACCGTAGGCCCCTTGTTTTCCAGAATCTCCTCGTCGGAATGTACACCCACAAGCAGCTCCTTTCCGAGCCTGCGAGCCTGAAGCATCGCTCCCGCGTGGCCTATAATTGCGCTAACCTGTTAGTCTTGAGCAATTGGACAACGGGGTAAACAAGCTGGGCAGAAGCACACATCAACCACTCACCGTGATGGCTAAAGTCGAAGCAACCATCGATCCAGATACGGTCTTTACTGATGGGAACATCTTCTTGAGGGTCTACTGGCCATTGTCCAGGGGCAGGCACAGATGATGTAGACATAGCTGTGAAATGGTAAACTGTAGAGAGAGGGTCGGGTCGGGACCGAGGGTTTGCAGCAATGATGAGGGGGTTGTGGCATGTGATAACTGAGGATTGTTGATATTCAAAGGATACAAACAGAGTAGACGGGATTGTTGTTTATTATCTATCTGTTCATTGCGTGACTGTGGCATGTATTGAGCCTTTTAATTGAGCATCTTGTAACCAGAGAGAGTGAGTGTGTTGAGCGCGGGGAGAAGAGCGAGGAGGAGGAATGTTGGGGTCGGGGAGCGAGCAGTATTTATTTATTTATTTAACTATTTATGGCAGCCGGACCGTGGCCCCGTTTAAATATTTAGTTAAATACAGGGTAGAGTAGACTTTGTCTGATGTTCTACTAAGATAGTATTTAACTAAATAATAAATAGTATATTTATGGTCAACAGCAAGATCTTTTGTTTTTTAAATCATCAAAAGTTCTTGTTTGCTTTTTCCATTTAAATATCAATTTTGTCGCTGTATCATATTTAATACCCCAACGATTGCCACAGGAAGATGTTATGGAGCAGTTGAACTCCTCTTGATTGGTACGGTACGTTAACAATAATAATATACAGTACATTGTTGTCGTCCAACCTGTGAGTTCTTTTGCATGGAAAGATATCACGTATTTAATATAATATCAACGACTTCTTTGTAGCATCCGCCCTAGTGGCGTTGCCGTAGCGACCGCTCCGCCTACACGTGATCTCATATGTAATATATATAGCTAGCTCTTCCTACACGAATATAACAGATTAACCATCCCACAGGTTATAGCCCGGATAGCACATTTTTACAAAGGATTACATTTTTTTTACTTTTGTTTAAAAACACCTGTGTAAGCATTGAATGTGTTCATCCTGAATAGAAGAATTCTTTTATCATATTTACATTGCATGTTATGAGTGTATCTGCTTGATCAGTGATTGAAATAGCAGAACTCTTCAGTATAATATAACACATTTTTTTTCTTTTCAATTTCTTTATTCAACTCTTCTTTGACTGATGAGTGATATATCTACATCACAGAGTGATAGAAGAAGAACTTTACATTTACATTCTCACACTCAGGCATCTATCAATGAAGAATCAGAGAAAATAGATACTACATAATATATAAAAGTCACAGAAGAGATCATGAAGTCATCTATAAATAGTGAAGTAGATTATAGATTGAATGATGATATCTCAAGCTTATAAGCAATATGTACAGAAGTATGACACATAAGTACTATATCTAGAATAAGTTCAGATGATATAATATTAATAATATTTAATAATCTGATAATGTTCTGTGACAGAATGAGTATATGTTGAGTAGTCACTTCTGCAGCAGATGATTTCAAATCTGAGATTTACAAATATTAAAAGAATATTCAAAAAGCTATGAATATCAAAGCTGTAATCACATTTGATAATAATAACTATAAGATCTGATATACAGAAATTCTTGCAGATGCTGAAGTTATCAGTGAATCTGATATTCTTATGAAGAATTAATATGTCTGTTCAGAAGACATCAGTCAAGATATATTAAATGCTGAAAAATAAAGCATTTATATCAAAGCACTGTATTGATGTATGTTGCAGTTCTTATTAGAATCTGTATATACAATCATTGAAACTCTTGAGTCAGATAATACAGCTGTACTATAAAAAAGAATTGAAGTTAAATATACTGTCTCACTTATAGAGAAATATATGAATATTATGAAAGAATTTATCATCTTACATGTCAGAGATAATGATTATCTAATATTTTAGAGAAGATTTCATTATCTAGTTACATATTATAAGAAATTGATAAATAACTCAGAAGACTTCTATCATGATCTCTTTCTTATTGATTTGAAGAAGTATCAAAAGTCTTTTATTAAGACATGTTTAGATGATTTCTACATGTCTGGTCAGAACTCTATACACAATATTAATATTAATAATCTCATGAAACAGTTGATAAACTGTATAAACAAGTTTAAGAATAAAAATTCTAAGTCTCAGTGAGTTAATATAACTATCATAACTCTCTCTACATTATCTGTATACAGTTCTAAATATGAGATATGCAGTTTGAGATGACACTGAAAAAACATCTGTTAATATCTGTATTCAGAACTTGCTACTGAACAGTGATATGAGTTAAATAAGAAATATATTATTACATCTGAGAAGAACAATAGTAATAATATCAGTATCAGCAGACATGACAAGTGTAAGAGTAAAAAGAAGAACAAAGATAATAAGAAGAAGAAATTCTCTGATCTTATAATCTCACAATCTGCAGCTGTCAATATGACAATTGCTTTTTCAGCAACTATTAATATAATAAGCAAACCTTGATTTCTTAACATATATACAAGTTTTCACATAACAGATAAAAAGCAGTTCCTCATTCAGTGAAAGATGTATGATAATAATATGAAGATTCACACAGTGAATAAAGATTATAATTATATCAAAGAGATCAGTGATCTTCTTCTAGAATCTGAAGAAGAGAATATCACTGTCTGTGATGTTTATTATGTTTTTAATCTCACAGTTAATCTATTGTCATTCATCAGGTTGAAGAATCAGAGTTTTCAATATAAGCTTTCAAGCTTGAACACCTTATTCTATTTTATTATTAAAGTATTAAGTGAAGTGATATTCACTGTAATCTGTATATCTTAAAACTCAATTTATAAAATAGTTGAAAGAATGTCAGAAGTTGATATATATTATAAGTCTAAAGCAGTCTATTTCACAGTGAAATTATATATATATAATAATGACTATACTAAAGCTATAATTACTATTGATGACAATAATCTTATCATTGATTAACCTCAATATCAAGAATCACTTACAACTGTGAAAATACTTGCAGAGTGATATGTTGATCTGAGATATATATATATGAAAGCTATTATAGCATTGGCAAAGAATTCACTATCTAGCATCTGTATTAAAGACACTAAGATCAATTTCTTTTATAATATCTGTATTAAAGCAGGTATGACATGTAAATACTCAATCATCTTCATGCCACAGGCAGTACACTCAATGAAGCAGATTCATATCAATCTTACAGATGATAAGTGAATATTGAGTAAGTCTATAGATTACTCTGTTGAATTGTGACAGAGTAATAAATATTATATGTTAATTATGAATAATGTGATCAGATATAGATGAATCTATTTCTTATATATTAAGAATCAAACTTACAATTACTATACACACTGAGTTTAATTCATAAAGAATCTAGGTTTTACTGCATCAGTATATATCAGAACTAATATTAATAATATATTTAAATTTATGAAGATTACAGTATTATTCATCAATCATGACACAGTATAAAAACTAACTACTTCTCAATCATCACATTAAGATGATGTGTCTGAGTACAGAATACATACAATTATGGCCTGCATTAAAGTAGTTCTTATTAATAAGAAGATTCTGAAGAAATTCTGAATGAACATTCTGAAAACAGTTATTTTAATCATAAATAATACACTCATATCTACAGTTCTATATAATGAAAAGTATTGATCTGCAGTTGCAGATGATGATAGTAAAGAAGCTGTTTATAGCTCTTATATAATTTCTTTTTCAGCATTGATAAATGCTCTGCTGTAGATCATACATTTCTATAAGCTTAAAACTAATGTTTTTACTCATTTTTATAAATCATAGAAGTCATTGAATAAGTTGTCTGCATGAACTGATTCATATAAGCTTATTAAATTCTGCAGATGTTCAATCTATTACTTATGAAGTTCTACAATAGATAAAATTATTGATATAAGTAATATAATTTTCTCTGTAAAAGTGTAAGAAATGCTGAAGATTACTATAACTACTACAACTGCAGCAACTGATACTGTTTCTATCATCTATTTAATGAAGAATTCTGACATTTCTGAATTGATGAGTACAGATTGAATGCAGTCAGCAAAGGCATTTACAGCTTATACTTTCATTCTCATTACTGATTTTCTTCTGAAATCACACAAGAATGCTATGAGTAGATCAGAGACAGTGAGAGATTATTGAAAGAAATCAATACAATATGAAATATCTGACCTTGAGAGACATAAGACCTGAACACTTATTTCATATTCTGATATCTCATATAATGAATCAGTGATATCTGATTACTGAGTATTCATTGAAAAGAACTACTCTGATAATCTCAATACTGATAAGAATGATATATTATGAAAATCTCAATGAGTTATATGTAATAACTGATTGAAGAAAGATACTTATCAGAAGACTTATACTTCTATGATTACAGATATAATAAATTGAATAATGTTTATAATTGCTGTAAAGTGTGATTGAACTCTATAATAAGTGAATATAGTAATAGTATATCTGTATAATAGATTAGAAAAAACAGTCTATATGAGATAACTTATAGACTTTGAATAAGAAACTCAGTGTATACTTATCTGTGCAGTTGAAGAATCTCTATATGAATTGAATTCAGCTGTTAAAATATAATATGACTACTTAACAGCTATACTGTAAGAAAATGACTTCAGTCTGAGTTCTTATAACTCTGCTCTTTGAAAGCATTCAGCCTGAAAACACCTGTATATGATTATATATGTTGATGATCTTCATATCTTTGTGAATGCTCTGAAGAATGCTGATTGACTTATTAACATTTTACAGTAAAAACTAGAGATCAAAGACTTAAAGAAACTCACAAAATATCTAGAAATGAAAGTGAAATATATAAAGAGTGAAATTAAATTAATACTCTGATATTATATCAATGAATTGATAGAAGATTTTTATCTAGATGATGTAATCACTGTCTATATACTCATGAATGAGAATCTACATCTAGATGACTTCTCTGTCTCTGAAAAGAAAAGCAGTTTTACAAAGTAATGATTTCAGTATAATGTTAAGTATCTGCAATACTTAGCTATTAAGCTGTAGCTGAATATCATCTGTGCAGTATCTCTACTGATGCAGAAGAACACTGCTCTCATCTCTAAGATATGAAAGACTCTATTACATATTATTTAATATTTAAAAGAAATGTGTGAGATTGACATATTCTATATAAAGAATGATGATGAGAAATCTGAGAATGAATTTCTGAATGTGACATACATGTCAGTTGAATATATAGATTTCAATTGAGCTGATCTGTTGAATGATAATTGTAAATCTACATTCAGTTATATCTTTAAATTGAGAAATGTACTGATTTCATGATGATTGAGCAAGCAACTCTGTGTATTCTTAAGCTCTAATGAGGCTGAATATGTGGTGTTGAGTGATACTGTACATGAAGCAATATGATTGAGAAGTATGATAATGAATCTGAGCTTCATTGAAACAGAAGACTCTCTGTCAATTAAGACAGATAATAAGAGAATGATTGATCTTGTTACAGTGACTGTAATCACTGCAAGAAGTAAGCATATTGATATCTGATTTCATTACACCTGCAGCCAGTTGAACAATGACATAATCTCAATTAATTACATCTCAACTGAAGAAATGATAGCAGATGAATTGACTAAACTCTTGAATACAATTGCATTTTGTTGATTCCTTGATTTACTAGGTTTTACAGATGAAGAGGGACAGAATACATAAACTCAATGCAGATAGCATGATTTGGATGGATTTGAGGATGGCATAGCTAGATCTGCAAGAGATGATTGATTCTTTATTATGGTGTTTGTGATCTTGCATGGCGATGCGAGGGGGGGTGTAGCATCCACCCTAGTGGCGTTGCCGTAGCGACCGCTCCGCCTACATGTGATCTCATATGTAATATATATAGCTAGCTCTTCCTACACGAATACAACAGATTAACCATCCCACATTCTTATAGGGTTCTAGCTTGATATTTAGTTGTCCTGAGCGGAGTCTTCAGTTCGACCTTTTTCTTTTTCTTTCTTCTTCTTCTTTGCAGGGCAATGTACAGTACATATATAACTATACTGCGTACATGTCGCATCTGACATTTATTACTGGAAATCGGATGGGATCTTGTATTTATTTAAATAGTCTCGACTCTCGACTCATCCCCCCTTGTGCGAGTCAACAACCGGTAGCTCAAAACACAATCCGGGCATCACACACTTTGGGCCGATTCAATGACGTTATAGCAATCCATAATCTTAGACAAGTTAGATAGATAACTATATAAAAGAGGAGAGACGGAAGACAACGGCGCAAGCAGAGAGGAGAAACCTAGCAAAGTAAAATCAATAATGTACAGCACGTACGCACAACGTACACAGTTCTGGTGAAAAATATCAACCTGTCACAACAAGAAGAAAAGACTCTGGACGAAGAATTGGAAGAACTGCGAACGAGGGAAAAGGCACCAACCTACCGTGATACAGAAAATAAATAATCCACACCGGGCGAAATCCAACAATAACAAGACGTACGTTGCTGTGATGATCCAGGGGGTAGTTATTTATTGTTTAAAATATTTATTAGCTAAATAAATATTTTCATGTCAGTTTATTTATTATTATTATTTCATAAACTTCGCGACCTTCCAGCTAACGTTATTTAACTTATTTATTTACAGCAAGCAGAGTTCTTCTGTTTCTCAACCTCCATAACTAACTTATTTACTTCCCTTCCATATAGCAAGATCAATCCAACAGCGTTGCCTATATGCTATGGACCAGTTCGCACCCTGCCCCGACAGCCCAGCCCAGCCCAGCCCAGCCCAGCAGTATATTATAACCAGCAGTATAATAATATGTATGATATCTCCGCCATCCTGCTTCCTCTGCCTGTGCCTGCCTGGACGAAGTAAATAGTGTGATCTGACTGACTGACCTAGCCAGGCCTGACGGGGGTTTGCGTTGTTGTGATTTGCGCCAGCTAAATATTTAGGAGCAAACCCAGCCGCCACGCCGCCGCCATGAACCGCCACGACCATCACCATCATCCCCATCATCCCCATCACTACCACCACCGCGACGGGAGTCATGGCGGCACATCCAGCTTCGACCGGAACTTGGCTCCCCATCATCCTGGAAACCTCCCCGTCCTAAGGGTACCCGACAGCGTCCCATTACCTCGTGTCGACACCCCCAGTCGCCCGGGATTCTTCTCGAGAAACGGTTCTTTGTCTAGATCCTCTAGCCAACGGCAAAAGACAAAACAGCCCGCCCCTCCTCCAACGCCTCTCGTCGTGCCCTGCTGCAGCAGCTGTCCGTCAACTTCCACCGCTGCGACGATATCCGCAACCAATGCGACAAGTCCTCCTCTGACGGCGACTACGATTCCCCCCTCCTCTTCCTTTCATTCTCCAGAACGACGACCGTTTCTCAAAGATTCCCCGACAAAGCGCAAGGTGTCTGGCACGGTCGGGAACAAAGGCAAAAGCATATCGCGGTTGATAATACCAAACTTTTCCGCCAATTCGAATCAGAACACCTCCTCAAGTGATTCCCAGTCGCTCCCCCAGACCCCATTGGATATACCGGGGATCTTCTGGGCGAAAACCCCCACGATAGGTCAAACCATGGATTTCCAGATGTATGGTGGTCTTCCCGGCGCACCACCCCCAACTTCGGGCGGGGGTGCTTTCGGCCCGCAAAGCGCCAGTTCGATTTATATGAACATCCATCAAACCTCGTCAAAGCGGATATCAACGCTGGATTATTTACGGAAAGCGTAAGCTCCCCCTTGCTACGCTCCATGTTCCCTCGTCCCAAGTAGATGTATTATTAATGGCTGTCTCATATGGCGGGGGAAAAATATACATCTAGACATGAAGGCAGTGTCTACTGGTTTAATACTGTACACTTCTCAAAATCAGACCTCTCCCGCATGTCCTATTTCGAGCAACGGAAACTCTCTCGCCGAGCAATTAACTACCTCCTCCTAGGCCTTTCCATCCCCCCCCTTCTCGACGTCAGCACAACCCCCTTCGAATACCTCCGCGCTCTTAATGCACTCCTCATGGAGTTCGAAACGTTCCAACAGGTCCACCCCGCCGATGGAAATGCCTCATCTTCACTCGGGCGCGCAAGGATACCACACATGTTCAAACGCTCCGCCCACTCAGGCGCCAAGACCCGCCGGGCGAGCTCAGCAACGGAAATCGGCCTGCCCATGCAGACAAGCGATCCATCAGACATCAAAGCCATGACGGGGAATATCGCGACTTCGTCAAATTCTTCCGCTACAACCTCGTACCCCAGCACAGACTCCTCCGACCTTCTACCCGGTGAGGAATACACATACCTCCTCACGCCAACCTTGCCCTTCGACCCTGACTTCTTCGAGACCTTTTCATCTCTATGCGACGTCCTGATTGATTGTTATACAAGGCTTATGGCACTGGTGTCTGGGCCTGCTGTCTGCTCTGCTGTCATTGCCGAGATGTTCACCAAGGCCGATTCGAGGCTGCGAAAGGTGATGATCGCGGGCGTGGTGAAGGAGTTCGAAGATGCCAGTCGCAGTAACGTCAAATCGGAGATTGCCGGGGTGAATAAGGTCCTTCTTGGCGGGCTGCTGGGTTGAGTTCAACCATGCTGAAATGATTTCACGGGCATTTTTGATGTCTGTAAAATCGCACACATACTTACCCCGCCCCCCAGCCTCCTCCTCCCTCCCTCACTCTATTGCGGCGCATTATCGGGCGGGGTTTTTTTTTTTTTTTTTTTTTTTCCCTTGCATGGGTGCGTTTGCTTTTTTTATTAGAGACCATGTCACCTATGTAATGAATATATATCAAGGATTGGTCCTTCAAATAATAAATATCACTTTCTTCACATTTAAAGAAAATATATAACGTACAGATTTTCTTTTTTCTTTTTCTTCTTTTCTTTGATTTTAGTGAGAGGTGAGTGGACTTTGAAACGGAAATTATCAGCAGCATAGAAACCTCGATCAACTATCCTACGCCACACAACAGCTTTCTTGGATGCAGTAGCAGTGGACCCAATATAGACGATTTCAAATGACTGATAATAGATGACATGGGACTCAACCCCCGATCAAGGTGCCAATATTTCTGGAAGTATTGCTCACTGACGTGAACAGTATTGTATGTGTATGTGCATATGGATGCGTATAGACAGGAAATGTAACGCTAATGGACAGGAGTCTAGTTCGAGTACATGAAACGGAGAGAGTATATATAAAAAAAAGTGAAAAGAAAAAGTCGTATACCAAAATACACCACGACGCCGATTTTTTGTGCGCCAATCCCAAATCAATAATACTTTTGATTTTTTTTTTTCCCCAGCCAACAGAATAAAGAAATGAGAGCACAAATCAAGGAAAAAACATATACATATAAAGTGACGAAAATCAATGTGCCGGTTCCTCTTCGCCGACGGGTCGCATGCTTCTCCGCAGATGTCGTCTCGGTATCAATGCAGTCGCTCAGTATGTTGAAGTTTGAAAGAATGGTTAACGCTAAAATAAAAAATAAAAAATAAAAAAAGAAAAAAGTGGCGTATGGCTCCAAAAAGCGCAAAGCGGTAGCATCAGGAATAGAGGTAGGTAGGGGGGCTAAGAATCCCGGGGAGCTGGCGAAAAAGGAGACAAGGAGACATGGATCAAAAACGGGTGTCATTGAGCCTGCTGCCTTGCCTCCAATTCCCGTTGTTCCCCAAACACCCTCCGACTCATTTCCAGCACTGCCTCGAAGCCTTCGCGACCTTTCTTAGCATTCTGGCTAAATCGTTCAATGCTGGCCTCTTCAACTTTGTTCTTTACTTTCTGCCAGCCGCTGCACACGGCGGTTATTTGTGCGTCTTGCTTGAAATCTGTCTTGGTGCTTGGAGCATCTCGCGAAGGCTGGTAGGTAACGGTTTCTCGGACTTTCAAAACATTCGACCATGTTAGGTTTGTTGAGCACATGGTCACTTTCTTAGAAACGGGATCGACATATGACACTTCGTAGACATGAGAGGTGGCGCTACCCCCGAAAAGCGTGAGGAGCCATTGGGGAGCGGATTGATTGCAGGTGATCAGGCGTTCCGTTCGTAGCTAATTGTAGGTGTAACTGTTAGCCAACAAGAACTGCTGAGAATGTTTGCCGAAAAGTGCATCCAATGTGTTAGATGTGGTAACTCACAATGCCGGTATCAGGGTGCAGTGTCCGGGAGAGAATATCAACGGCCACAACATGGGTCGACTTGTCGTTCCAAGGACAGTATTTCCGCCAGTTGGCGGTAGAGACCTCCTCCCATGAGTAATCGAACGTGCACGTTGACGCGAAGACTTTCATATCTAGATGTCTAGAGCAAGAACAACCAACGGCCTAGGCGAGACGAAAACAAACGACGGAGTCGGTCTGTCGTCTGTTCACCGAACGCAATGACAAAACAAAGGTTACTAGCAAGGGGGAGGATTGTTGATCGAGTGAGGTCGGGTTCCTACCCCGGGTCTATCTGGTAGTGGAAAACGGCGAAGACGCAACCTTCGGAGGAAAGGAGGAAATATTATTCGGTTACAGCAGTCGGAATACTATACATTAGTGGCTATTATGCGATCACAAGAGGATTGCAGCCTTCAGGATTGCGCGTGTGTGGGGGAGTAAGTGGTGTTAAAAGAACGACACCAATCTTGTGGGTATATTGGATATTTATTGGACTGTTCAACCCCGTCTTCTTGGTTGGAGCGGAGGAGTTGAGTCTTGTCACAAGGGAAAAAATTTTGCCAGACTTGAAAAAAGCGGGAAGAATCGATTTCGATCGCAAGGGGCGGGTTAGTCAGCCGGGTTTGCCGCGGTTTCAGCCGATCCTGACCGGATAATAACTTTATCCGATTTGTATTAATCATCATACTACGACTGATATGATTGGCTGTGACCATCGACAAGCAAAGTAAAAAATATCTGCTAGAATATCTATCATTCTTTAACATCTCTCTGCTCGCGTACAACCTAATAGGCTGCCTATTACTGGAAAAACGACATTGCCAACGATCGCAAAATGATAACTGCAACTCCTTTCTGAAATTCCAGTTTTATCCCTTGAAAAGCAGCTACTTACCCCTCAAAACCCTAGCCAGACACCGCAGCCGGAGGAATATCATGGCTTGTTCCACAGCCGATTTTACTCAGTTACTCTCCTCGACCCCAGAGATTTTCTTAAAACCGGCAACTTCCTTACATACAGCATGGGCGACAGCGACAAAGCGCTATCTCGACCCACTTGCATCAGACATCACCAAGGCTCAGAAAAAACGCCTCCAAGACAAATGGAACCGAAAAAGAGTTGACAAACATCGACATTTTCGTTCCCAAGCGCTACATCTGCAGGAAGTTCATACCGATGGTTTTACGCCGCGACAAATCTGGGAGCAAGCGAATAGAGTGCTTAATGCCTCTGTACAAGATACCGCGCACGAACTTGCGTTATTGAGAGAACCGGAGGCGGAAATCGTCTCTTCCCAATCCAGCCCTCATAAAAAGTCCCGTGGAACCCAAGATGAGGAGCATGGATCTGAGGTTACTACCGAAACGGATCAAATCTCGGACAATTTCCCTAGCGACGATCCAGTCAGTATCCAGAATGGTGAAATCGCAGATGAAGACAGTAATGGAGAGGGGGACGAACGCGTAACGGAAGATAACAAGGATGGTGAGGATGGTGAGGATGATGATGATCATGATTCTATGTCCATCGATGGCGTCCAACCGTCTTCACGGCGCAAGAAAGACAAGAAATCAATAAGCGCGAGCGATATCAAATTTGTTCAGGACCCTCATAAGCTCAATGACGGATTCTTTTCAATAGACGAATTCAATGCTCAAACAGCTTTATTCGAACAGAAGGACGCAAAGGGGATGCAGGATGGCGACGACGATGACGATGACGAAGGAGCGATTGATTGGGGAGCCGATCCTCTTGGTCTTGGTGCGATTAATGGGGATAAAGAAGATGATGAATCTGCAGACCAGGACTACCCTAAAGAAGACGACGGTTCGGATTCCGAAGGTATGGACGAGGACGGCGATTTTGACGAAAGTGAGATGGGTTTGATGGGTGGTAATGCGAATGACATAAAATACGCTGATTTTTTTGATCCTCCTCCTTCCAAAGCTCCAAAAGGTCGACAAAATGGTGTTTTGTCTAAACACAAATCGCCCACTCCCGATGAAGACATCGAAGCTAGGATCCGTCGTGCTATTTCTGATGTACAACGCGATCTTTTTGACGATGATATGTCCGACGATGAGGAAATGGACGGCTCCGCGCGACAAACAGGGACAGCTCAGTCTACCCATGAGAAACGACAAGCCAAGCTCACGGATGAAATTCGACGATTGGAAGCCGCGAATGTTTCCAAAAAGGAATGGATGCTTTCTGGAGAAGCGAAGGCGCCAGACCGCCCCGTAAATTCGTTGATCGAAGAAGATCTTGAGTTTGAACGTGTTGGGAAGCCTGTACCTGTGATCTCAACTGAAGTATCGGATGACATTGAAGCGCTTATCAAACGGCGTATTTTGGCCAAGGAATTTGATGAAGTCCCACGTCGCCAACCGTATATTCCAGGCAGCGAAGCCCAGCGTAAACGTGATCAATTTACACTCGACGAGACAAAACCACAGCAGAGTCTAGCAGAGCTATACGAGGAGGATCATCTTCGCAAAACGGATTCTGCATTCGTGGACCAGAAGAGCGAGAAGTTGAAAGGTGATCACGAAGAGATTGCTCGACTGTGGAGTAACATCAGCTCTCAATTAGATACGCTTTCAAGCTGGCACCATAAGCCTAAGCCGCCGCAGGCAAGCATCAATGTTGTCACCGATGTCGCTACCATTGCGATGGAGGATGCGAGACCAACGGGTGGAGCGGGAATGGACTCGTCAGGCATGCTTGCGCCGCAGGAAATGTACGCTCCTGGCGATGAGGGCAAGGTGCGGGGTGAAGTGGTTCTCAAGAGCGGGGTGACAGTGTCCAAGGAGGAGATGACGCGAGAAGCGAAATTGCGAAGACGGAGACGCGAGAAGCAAAAATTGAAGAAGAATTCTTCTCAGCCTCTACGTACTGGAAAGCAAGCTGAGAAACAAAGGATTGTTTCCGACTTGAAGAAGGGTGGTGTTAAGGTGATTGGAAACCAAGGCGATCTTAAGGATGTATACGGCAATAAGGTGTCTTCTAATGAAAATAGAGGGCAACTTGTCTTGAAGCTATAATATTTGGACGGCATCTTGAAGTGTAGACAAAATAGATAATATGATAATGTTCATCTCTAAGCTACCATAATATTGCATCCACTCCATTACTTGATGTATCATTGCATTATCTCCTCCTTGCGCTTCCCCGGTTCTTCAGATTTCACCTCCCTTTTCCTGATGATGTATAGAAAAATGCTTTCTTTCGAATAACGGTCACGATCCGGATCATCCTTTACTTCAACCACATTGAATAACTTTTTTGCCTGTTTCATGAATCTGAGATCTGCACGACGCCGCTTTTTGAAACAAAAGTAGCATAATGAATGCGAACTGCTAAGCAGGTTCTGAAGAGTTGATAATAATAGCGGAAATGCAGGTTCGAAGTAGACACAATCCGCAGCAATAATTACAGCAGGGTCCGATGGGACCCCCTCTGGGAGCGCGCTGCCCCAGTCGAGTACGGCCGGGTGAACGATGTCAGACAGACCGTTTAACTGGACATTACTTTGCATTAGTGACAGCATCGGGATCTGGTCGGTGATGTAAATTGGCGAGTCAACTGCGCATCCTCGTGCTACCGCAAGTCCAACGAGCCCGCCTCCAGCACCAAGTTCGACACTAAATGTAAAAACAACATCACGTAAGTCATGGTTCTTAAGTAAAGCTATTGTCCCACAGGAAAAGCCGGAGTAAAAAGGCGGAAATGTACGGCGGGCAATACAGACATTACTTTCCCGCGGAGGTCAGACTTGTGCTTGCGAAGCATATATTTCGCCAGCACCATCCCGGCTGGCCATAGTTTCCCACCACACCCGTCTTTCAGGTCTTCCTTGATTTGTAGAGGGGGGGTTAGGAGTCCATCGAGGGAGAGAAGCACTGTTCCCGCCGTTTTGTTTTCACGGACCGGAACCAGGGACTCACTAATAGCGAGTGGGAAGTCTGGCTCCGATAGCACAAGGGTCGCTTCGGCAGAATGGTCGATTTCACCCATTGGGAAACGTTTCTTCGTGGCCGTCTAATAACGACAATGGTAGATAACCTGGTAGTCTGACAACAACGGCAACACCGACCAGGACAGCAATACTCGGGGATTTGTCGAGAGATTGGTTAGGTAAGAGTTAGATGGCGGTCATGTTCTTTTTACAGGCACAGTTCATAGCGCAAAAACTGAAATGGTATTATTCATTGTGTCGTCTGCAAGAGGATAGGTATTAGAAGAAACAGAATTGATATTGGGCAATATCAATGTATCGGGATCGAAATTATCACAAGATCAGAAATTAAGTGCTCCATTGTTGGTAACGAACGCTTTTGCATTTTGAGCGGGCAACAAGAACGTCTCGGGAGAAAGCGTGAAAGGCGGCTCTGCGGGCATGCCGGCCCTGATCGGCGCGGATATTGTTCCGTCCGGCGCTAAGCCCGTCTGGCGCCTAATCCCCATTCAAATGAGGTCACCACCGCCAGCAGATCAACCGCGTTTTTATCAAATTCATAGTTGCTTCTAGTTAATATTTTAATTTCTTTGTTAAGCAACGTTTCTTCAAAAATCCTACATCAGGCCCCAGCTGCATTTCAACTCCTCCTGGTACATCTCTCCATGGCCCCAACCATGAAAAGGCACAAACAGAACAATGGCGGCGAGGCTCCTCAACATAAAAGGCCCAGAACAGACAACAGTAGTTCGGTCGCGTCACCTGAGGCTGGTACTACCATTGGGACCTCTTTTCCTACTTCTGAGAAGAAGATCGACTCCAACGGCGACTTCTACTGGAACATTTCGCGTTTCCGCCGTCTTACGGTTTCCTCCTTTAAGGGCCGTACCATGGTCAGCGTGAGAGAGTACTATGAAAAAGATGGACAAGAACTTCCAGGCAAAAAGGTCAGCTCAATACTACCCTTCTACGCCATATTTATCCTTAGTGAACTGTCATTATGAAAACCTAGTTGTCAATGCCTGCTAACATATGTCTACAGGGGATATCAATGCCATTAGAGCAGTTTAATGCCATGGTCCAGTTACTGCCCAATATCGAAGCAGTGATCAAAGAGAAAGGTGGATCTTTAGATAGACCAAATTATATTGATGGTGAAGGCAAGGAGATCGCGAAGAACGACCCAGTCCAAGAGGACTCGGGCTCAGAGTCTGATGAATCTGAAGATAATTAGGTTGAATTTTTCTTGTATGTTTCGATTGCCCTTCATATTTTCCTCTGTAACGGTTGTAACTGTCCCTGTAGTCTGCATACCCCGGCGGGTTCTTTGTTTTCCTTAGTTCGGTTTGCGCTTCGGGATGTTTGTGTAAGGGAACGTGTGAATTTATTTTAATATAATCACTTCCGAGGCGTAATTGGTTTTTGTTCTTCTAGCAGGTGCGGTATCTAGCGACTAATTATTTCGAGGTGATCATCACCCGAGCGGCAAATAGTCATTTCACGATCATGCGCTCGTCTCCTGTGTTTCTATGCGGCTAGCCAAAGACCCTCCTTTCCAAGCTTGTTTAAGGTCTCTCCCTTTCCGAGCTTTGCTTTCCTCCCCTACCTTGCCCCACCCACCGCCGCCAGGGGTCTTTACAACTATGCGATCGCCAGGAAACATTTTCGCTGTATTCTTCGCCCCTAGGTTTATCTCCCTTACCTCCCATTCGCCTGGTTGCCCTCGTTTTGGTGTCCTTCTCACCCAAATATTCAGTCCGCATTGGCCATCCTTGCCTCCATTCAAGCCATACGGATGGTATACCCTGCGCTCCGAGAGGATGGATACTTGTACTGGAATTCGAAATTCAATGTCCCGGATGACACCATCTCCACCCCGGTGCTGCCCATCCCCTCCGGACCCTGGCCTCAGACTGAACTCTCTTATCAGCACTGGATATCTTCGCTCGAAGACTTCAGAATCCGTAATACGAGTATTAGTCATATGTGTGTGGACCCCGGAGGTCCCCTCCCAGTCTGGGCCAGCACCACTTCCACCAGCAATGGTTTCGTAGTACCCAAACCCTTTGGTTTCTTCTTCTCCTGAAACATTTCCGCCATATCCAAAAGTTAGGTTGTTTGTGTCCCCTTGGGATGCAGCACAAGCTTGGAAACATTTTAAGATTACGTCGGTCACTCGCTGGCTCTGTGTCGCGTGTTAAATCAGAGAAAAGAATACAAGGAAAGCCCAAAACAGGCAAGGGACTCGAATAAAGTAGTAAATAAAAATGTTTAACCTACTGTCAAAACGTTACCGCCAACAACAGCAGCTTTATCGGACGGGGAAAGGAAACAATTTCTCGGGATTCGCACATTGATGGGTTTGAGACACCCTTGGTTCAATGGAATATCTTCGGATATTAGACACCGTAAGCAGTAAATGATCGCAGAGTAAGTAACAGCTTCCGGCGCATTGATGTTCCCTGTAATTTAAGTAAGTATTCAGGTCCATAGCTGGCATTAGCTTGGAACTGACCGTAGACTTCAGGGCCGGTGCCTTCAAAATCAAATACCGCTTCCCCCATCTCCGCATCAATGGTTATCTTCAGGTGGATTGGGCTTCCATCGTCCATGTAGTCGACAGCGACAAGATCCGCCCCTGCGAACCTTTGGCTAACTGTTTTCAGAAGGTTTCTTACGCTAAGTTCCGCATTATCTTGGATGTTATTCATGTAAAACTGAACCGTATCCTCGCCGTATTCGCTGATCAACATTGATATGAGGTTAATTCCTTTCTGATTTGCGGCTATTTGAGCTTTCAGGTCGTTTATATTATCTGCAAGACATCTTGTCCCGCTGCATCCAGGATACTGTGCAGGTTCGTGATACAAGAGGTGGGTGATTCGCTCCTCGTTGAATATGCCTTCGGAAACCAACTTCTCTGATTTGATCGCCGCGCCTTCTTGGGATAGCTCTTTTGAATGTGGGGGCATGGAACCCGGGAGAATACCACCAATGTCCGCTGTTTGTTTTAACCATCAGCTCCCCCAAAGAACACAAATTCGGGTCTTGGATATGAAGTGAGATTTGACTAACCATGATGCGCCCTAGATGCGACATAAAATATTATCTTATTGCCATTGAAAGCTGGTGTAATAACCGTAATGTCTGGCAGATGAGTCCCACCGAACTCAGGATGGTTGCTTACTATAACATCACCTGGTTTGAGTTTTCCGGCCCATATTTTCGACTGCTTTCTGACGCAGGTGGACATGCTACCCAGATGAACTGGTAGATGCGGTGCATTGGCCACAAGTCCGCCATCGGAATCAAACAATGCACATGAGTAATCCAATCTTTCCTTGACATTAGTGCTAACACTTGTTTTCTGAAGTGCGCGTCCCATTTGTTCCGCGATAGCCATGAAACGGTGTCCAAATATACTGAGAATAACAGGGTCGACCGTGTTAAGGTTAATCTTCGCATCTCGAAGTTCGGAGGTACCGATATTGATAACAACATGGGTTTCGATGACTAGAGCTGTTGCTCCTGGGGTTATCACTAGTGTTTGCGTCCCATCAGCAAGAATAGCCGGTCCATGAATGCGGTCATTCACGTTCAAATCTTCAAGCTTATATATCGGCGTTTGGCGGCGGCCACCCTCAAAATACACCTGAGAAACACTGAATTTCTTTTCATCTCCTACATCCTGAGGTTTGGCTTCTTCGAGTTGCTGATCGACGGTCTTTCCTAAATCGTCAAAGCTCTTGCCGATTGCCCGCACCCGAACATCATCGATAATAATATCACGGTCGGGCAATGTGAATCCAAATTCTCGTTCATGTTGCTGGACGAAGGCTTTCCCATAGGCCCAATCGCTACCGCTATCAGACCCTCCAGTCGCTACTCGTGATTTGGGATTGATTATCATCAGTGTAGACTCGGTTCCTCGGTATCTCATGTTGAGATATTCCTCAAACACAATAGACTTGTCCTCAAATCCCTGGTCGTGCAGCCTCCTCCGAGCTGCTTCTTTCAACGTATCCATTTTTTGTCTCAGCTCTGTGATGGTACTTCCATCATCAGACCATACCTTTGATTCTGGCACCTGGCTTTCGTCCACCACGTCTGCAAGGGCCATTCCATATGCAGATAGGACTGAGGAATAGCGGTGTACAAAAATCTGCTTAATTCCAAGGTTTTCAGCAATTGCCACCGCATGCTGGCCACCAGCACCACCAAAAGTTGCCAACCTATGTTTCGAGGTATCATGTCCCTTGGCCTCGGTTAATGAGCGGATTGGCCTTGTCATTGATTCATTCGCAATTTGAATAAACCCATACGCGACTTCGTCTGGGGTCATTTTCTGGTCTTCGGGCAATTCTTCATTTATAGTTTCTGTCAGTTCTTCGAAAAGCATCGCACTTGCATATGCATCCAAGCCTTCGTTTTCTTTCGGGCCGAATATTTTAGGAAAGAACTCAGGTAACAATCGACCAAGAAACAGGTTGGCGTCCGTGATAGTTAGCGGGCCGTTTTTGCGATAGCAGGCAGGACCAGGATGTGCACCAGCGGACTCTGGCCCTACCACGAACAAACCATTTCGATAAAATAGGCGCGACCCTCCACCGGCAGCAACAGTATTAATATCAAGCTGAGGGCTTTGTATCGTGACCCCAGCTGTTGTAGTCTCGAAAACATGTTCATAGCGACCAGAACCATACCGGCTAACATCCGTGCTGGTGCCCCCCATATCAAACCCAATTACGGGAATGTCCGTCTTCGAGTCGTACGAAGTAAGGGCATAGCCGACAACTCCGCCAGCGGGCCCTGACAGAATCGCACGCAAGCCAGAGAAGTTGTCAATATCGACTAGACCGCCATCTGATTGCATAAATTCACATCGCGCCCCTTTAGATCCATGTTCCTTTTTGAGGCTGCTTGTGCCAAGTCCACCCTCAAATCCAGACTGAAATCCTGAGATATACTTGCGAATGGTAGGTGTTAGGTACGCGTCAGCACAAGCGGAAGTTGCCCTTGGCACCAATTTGATCATAGGCATGAGCTCATGGCTCAAGCTGATATGATCGAAACCAGTTTGTCTTGCGAGCCTCCCAATCATGACTTCGTGATCCGGAAAGGTATATCCATGCATGAGACATACAGCAATGCTTCGGAACCCCTCGTTATAGAGAGTTTGGAGCTGTGTTTTTACGATGCTTTCGGAGGGTCGCCGTAGTATCCTAACCGCCTCCGAGGACAGGCCACGCACAATTTCCGCATCTGGGGGTGACAGGTCTCGCGGGAGCGTTGGTGTACTGTGCTGTATTGGATCCTCTGTATAGTCCTCGAGCGTGACCCGTTCATCCACTTCAATAACTTTCTCGTATAGGACGTCCGGCCTCTGAATGGCCAGGTCAAAAATTTTGGGGCGGGATTGATTTCCAATTTCCAGGCAATCCTTGAATCCCCTAGTCACTACCAAGGCCATTCGCTCTCCTTTCCTTTCTAGTAAAGCATTCGTGGCAACTGTGGTTCCCATACGAATGCTCTCTATCTTAGCAGTATTCAATGGCTCCCCTCGAGGGATTTCACGACCTTCGAACTTGGAGAGTAGCCGACGTATGCCTTCCAAAGGCGCATCATCGTAATGGTTTGGGTCTTCGGACAGTAGCTTGATCACAATGTCATCTTCTAGCTTCCCGGAACCAGGATTGCCAACGCAGTCCGTGAAAGTACCACCACGCTGAATCAGTAAAGTTAGCGAGATTGTCGGTCAATTGGCAGAAGAATAGTGCACATACGTCAATGGCGATCCTGATGCCGCGCCGCTGTACTGGAATAGCCATTGCGGAGGTGGGCGATGAATACTACCTTCGGCTTGGATGGAGAAAATGAGAGTTTATTTATTTAGAACGTAGAAGTGAATATCTTTTCTTTACCAGGACAAAGAGGTACGACGACTTGATTCTTTTATATTATTTCAAGCAAACCCATAGCGTCGGGAACAAATGCCGGCGCTTGGTAATGCGGATGAACCGCCCAGAGTGAGTGGGGGCGGGGTTTGATACCAGGGCTGAGTGAGGTTTATCAAGCTCGCAAAAAAGCACAATTTGTATCAATTACTATTATTTGATCATCGAACCCCTAAACCCCCACTGTAGAGGCAGAGGTATTTTGGCGGATCCCATTTTGAGCTATGTACGGAGTATTATTGAAACTACGATGTTGGAAGCCGCGCCCGGCTTGGCAATCGGAGCTTTGGTCCCGAGTCCCGAGTTGTCAGTTGTCGCTGACATCATCAGCGGCTGACGTCACGTGTCGATGTTTTTATTCCAACCACCACAACAAACATACCACAGAACAACGCAACGCTTCCTCATTATTATTATTGCATCTTCCAGCTACCCACAACTGTTGTTCACTGAATCGCGTAAAAACACGCGAATTCAATTCCTTGCTGTAATATTCCCGCAATTGCAGGCTTTATCGAGGGCGAGGGAAGCTCTCCCTTGAACTTCATTAGACTTTCCAAATCCCTTCACGCGTCTTGCCTCGATAATATCCACAGCATGCCTCGACCGCCTGTCAGACGTGGGCGTCGCCCAAAGACTGTTAGCCCCTCAGAAGTAGTTGCGGTATGCAACGACAGACAATCCGACGCACATAATTTTGCGGTAGTAATTAAACCAAACTTGGATCACGCCCAAGACCCTAAAGAGCACGGTGGTAATACTAGGGATGATGGGGAGAATTCACCTGAGACAGCATACCTCCAGAGAAGTGAATCGGTGGCCAATGAAGAGCGACATCTGGAGGCAGTAATCCCTCAAGCGCAGACCCCTATCTCGGAACATCAAAATGGCGCCAGCGACTTACCAACGCGAATCGACGTTATGTCTTCCGCCATAGGAAAAGCGCTCCATCCCAGTCTTCCCAATCGAGGGGACACCAGTTCCAGAGCACAAAAAATCGGAACTCCTGCCTTTGAGAGCTCGATGCTTAGCAATTTTAGACGGCGGCCCAGGCAACCCAGTATCCTTCAGATGATGCAAGGAGATCCATCGTCCGAACTCGATGACGATGATGATATGCTTGGTAGTTTCGACCCGGATGATGAATCAACTCCCCTAAAATTTTCCAACCGCCAAAGTATACCTTATGACTCTGTATCGATCCCATCTTCCACGCTGCGGGATTTATCCCCTGCGCGCTTATCGAAACGGAAACTACACAGCAAGACTCAAGTGCAAGTTTCTCCGTCCCCCGATCCATCCAAATTCGCAATTGCAGTCGATGAAACCACCGATAATAGTACCTCTGAAGATGACTCCCTGCCTACCCCAAGGGGAGCCCAGTCGCCGGAGCCGCTCGAATTGTCGAGTCAGACAATGATGCCACCCGAGAGCAGCCCAGCCTCTAGTGTGGAGAAACGACGATTAGATACTGCGCACGATGAATTTCCAGAAAATGAAACATCTCTTCCTAATAGAGAAAGACAACCTGCCACGATCTATAAACCCCGGGTTTCTACTGCGACTCTGAGAGAAAATTTGCTGCCTCAGCGGCGACGTCTGCAAAGACGCCGTGTATTAAACCATGCCAATACGCTCGCTTCAGACGATATTGAAAATGAACCCTTTTTCAGTGACCATTCCGACACATTTGAGGCTGATCAAGATGAGCTGAGTTACACAGCGTCGAGGGTTTTTAAAAGGAGGAAGGATATAGCAGGAGTGCCGGAAGCCAGCAGGGGCGGAGGGAACAGGGAGCTACCCGGCACCGTCGGGAACAACCGTGGCCGACGACGGACACCAGCGATGAAGTCGTCTACTATTGGGCCCTCCAGAAATGCGCATTTAACTCGCTCCAAAAGGGGTAACAATACCACTTATTTCTCGCACGACAGCCACGAGGAACTTGCCGATAAGGAGAACCAATCGATCCACGCATCCTCCTCACCACCGGACTCTGAAGAGCCATTTTCCACTGCTGATATTTCACCACCAGCCTCAGAACGCGTATTTCTAAGCGATGAGCTCATGCAACAAGCACAAAAGTTCGCCGAAATTAGCCAGTGGCCCCTAGACTTTGAGGATGTCGCGGTGACATCATGTCAAAGCAGCCCAGCACGGTAAAGATTATGGTCTTGTTTCGTTTGAGATTCATGTATATAATAATATTGCAGGTCCATTACAGCAACTTTTTTACCCATGTACTTTGTACCTAACGAGAGAAAATATTCAATTTGCGGGAACTGTTACATTTCGGTTCACCTCGAGAACATAGCATCGAAAAAGAATATTCATGAGCTGCCTGTTTTTTTTTTTTTCCCCTCCCCTTCTCCAGGGAACAGAGACGAGTATTAGGATGTAGCCGGGCTGGGACGGAACGGAACGGCTATCCATGGTCACGTAGCTTACTCAGCAGCCGTACTCCCTTCCTGTCGCTGTAACACCCCGCTCCGAATAAATCAGTGTCCACAGTATTAAACTGTTGCTGCTCCTCTCTGAAAAAGAATTGATCATTGCCTTGCAGCTCAGTTGTTTATTTTGCAAGATCAGTGGAAATGGATGCATCTGTCGATAAGATCCTTGCGGGCAAATACCCGGCCAAGCACCATGCAAAACGCGTCGCAGCTCGCATCAGAGAGCTTGGGCATGGCGAAGCTGGCGTCATTTATCTCGAAAGCCAGAAGACGCGGATGATTGAGGACAATGATGGTGAAATGCCATTCCGGTAAGTCAATTTAAACTGTTTGGATTTTCCCTTGTCCATCTTTGATGAATGTCGCTTACTAACCTCCCACCCACAGCCAGCGACGTAACTTCTTCTACTTATCAGGCTGTCCTCTCCCTGACTCGTATCTCACATATAACATCGAAGAAGACCATCTAACCCTCTTCATTCCTCCCATTGATGAGGATTCGGTCATCTGGTCGGGGTTGCCTCTTTCGCCCGATGAAGCGTTGGAGCTATACGACGTAGACGCCGTCCTCTCAACGGCTGATGTAAATGCTAGTTTGGCACATTACTGTTCGGCAAAGGAGGGCACAAAGGTTTTCGCAATATCTGACCAAGTTTCTCCGCACATAACCTTTTTACCCTTCCAAGAAACAGATTTTGATGTTTTGAAACGAGCTGCGGAGGAGGCTCGTGTTGTTAAAGACGATTATGAAATTGCTCTTCTCCGACGCGCGAATGAAATATCTTCCAAAGCACATGTGGCCGTTATCAAGGCTGCTAAATCTGCCATGAACGAACGAGAACTGGAGGCCACTTTCATTGCCACTTGCATGTCTTATGGTTGCCGAGAGCAGTCATATCATCCGATCTTTGCTGGCGGAACAAATGGCGCTACCTTGCACTACCAGAAGAACGACCAAGATTTAGTTGACAAAACTACTGGAGAGAAGAAGCTGAACATGTTAGTCGACGCTGGAGGAGAGTACCGGAACTACTGCGCCGATATCACACGGGTTTTTCCCCTTTCAGGGAAATTTTCTGCAGAGTCCCGACAGATATACGATATCGTCCTGGAGATGCAAATGACGTCTTTGGCGATGATCAAAGCGGGTGTAATGTGGGAAGATGTACACTCGAATTCCCACCGTGTCGCCATACGCGGACTACTCAAGCTCGGTATCCTGCGTGGTACAGAGCAAGAGTTGTTCGACAAAGGGATCAGCGTTGCCTTTTTCCCTCACGGTTTAGGACATTACCTTGGCATGGACACTCATGATACTGGAGGCAATCCAAACTATGAGGATAAGGACTCGAAGTTCAAATACCTACGTTTGAGGGGCGTTTTAGCATGTGGCGGCGTTGTGACTGTTGAACCAGGGGTAAGTTATACCATATCTACGGCCTCCGATTGGAGCAATAAGCACCCTTTGTGTTGTTGGTGAGTGGTTCAATGAAAGCTAATATATGTTCGATAGCTCTACTTTTGCCGTTTCATCATCGACCCTTATCTCGCGTCTCCGGAGTTGGGAAAGTATATAGATGCCAACGTGCTTGAAAAGTACTGGAGTGTAGGCGGCGTGCGCCTTGAAGACAACGTTGTCGTCACACAAAACGGCTATGACAACCTAACAACTGCCCCGAAAATTCCAGAGGAGATAGAGAAGCTCGCTGCAGGGCCATGATGGCCTGCCAAATTTGTCTTGTCTGATTAGGGTATTCATGTATATCTATCTACACAGCAATCCCAAAATTCTAACCGTCGAAAATTCGTGAATCAAAACCAAACTATCTAAGTGCATGCAGCATTCAATCTATTGTATCATAGCCTTTAATGCCTGAAGCAGTAGAGCAAAAATGAATCCTCTAGCAACAGATTTTACCTGAAGAGAATCAAAAACACGCCCAAGTGCCTCTGTGGTTGCAGCGTTACCCATGATGCTCGTCAGAGCCTGTGGCATGCCTCTCGTCACTAGCAATTTTCGGGCCTTTATTCGGAGCTCCTCCTGTTTATCATCAGTCAGTGGCGGAGGCCACGATTTAAGCTCATCTTCGGTTGGGAGTGCATTTTCGCGTATGGCAGTGATGTGCGCCGCCAGAGCATCATCCGCGGCATTAGATTCAATAATTGATTCCTGGACGAGCCGGCGAATGCCCTCAATGTTTGGATTCCCGGGCCGAAGCAAGAATGACCTCGCCGCATTCAACAATTTCTTTCTAATTCCCCAAGCGGAAGACAACGAATATAATTCGTTGATGACAGCAAACAACAGCTCCACTGCGACACCGGTCTCTTCTTCTGAGAGAGGCAAAACCCTCACTTCGTTTGAGCTAGGCTTAATTTGAGATTTCGAAGATTCCATATCTACTTCAGAGTGGCCGGCCGTATTGCCCTCAACGTCGCTTGCTTGTCCAGCTAAGGGGGACGATACGGTCTTGGTTTCTTGAAGGTGATTTTCACCCACGATGGGTCCATTTTGTTGATTCTCGTCGGCCTGTTCCGTAGCAAGAGAAGGGGATAATTGATCCACGACAGGTCTTTTGAAAGTTGGCTCTGCCTCCTGATTGTGCGTCATACAAGTCACAGGTTTCTCGAACCCATTTTCATTCGAGTCAGAGTCAAGAGGGGTGGAATGTTCCGTATCCGAAGGTAAGGGGAAATGCACTCCTGGCGCCTTACGAGCGTCCTGACTGATTGTAATTTTATTAACGAACTCGTCAGAGGACATTCTTAACTTCGAGTCCACCTTGTCTCTGAAGCCCAAGTCAACTGAGCGTTTCTTAACGCCGCTTCCTGTTCCAAACACCCCAGTGACGCCTTCGAGGACAGCCTTTCCACCCCCTGCTACGCCTTTAGGAGCATTACTCAGGGCTTCTAGTACCCCTTTGCCCATATTTTCAAACACTGCCTGGCTCGGAAACGAAAATCCAGTCTTCCCAGCCCCATTCGGAGATGATGTCGCAATCCCTCGATCTTTTTCTAAAAACCGTTTCATAGCTTCGCACCCAGCGAGCCGCTCAAAGCGTAGGGCATGCTGAAGGTAGCGTTCAAGGCTCTGCCGCAGATCCGGCTGGTGCTGACCTTTCCAGGTGGGCAGTTCTTTGTGTTGTTCTACGAAATCGGATACCCCAGAGACAACCGAAATGCGTCGTAAAACCTCATGGAGAACTTCGAAGTCAGAGTACTTCCTCGTAATTACCCAGCCTGGATGACGCGAGCTAGCGGGTTCAATTTGTAGCAAATAGTCATCTGTGGGTTTCATACGCATTGTCCCGTTGTTGCTGGGGAAACTGTCATCGAAAATCGATACGGAAGCACCAAGAAGGATCGTCTGAATAGAATCTATTAGATCAGAATTAGCATCCGAGGCTCAAAAGACAGGTCAAAATCGTTCGGTAGTTGTATTGATTCCTACCTTCCTGTCTCGAACGTAGTTCCCCAGTGGGGTTTCGTAAATCCCCAAGTTCATTCGGGCTGCTTGATGGGCTAGGTCTTGCGGGGACATGACTATTCCAATTGCCATCATTTGGGGAGGCAGTTGCGTCTGGGTGAGGGGTTTTAGAGGAGCAGCTTCCCAGGCCGATATCGATGTCGCTATCAGTCCCAATCGCAGACGGTTGTTCCTCACTCCTTGGGGTACTACCGAGTTCAATCATCGCACTAAGGCGCTTCGCTTCCCTAACCGCCTCTTCCATCTCAATCTGTGCCTTGGTCAATCGTTCGTTTTGCAGACTTGTTCGCGAATTGTCAGGGACAATCCGCTCGTTTATAGGATGTTCAGCTATATTGCTACTATCCGCCAGAGAGTTGGCAGAGAATGCCTCCATCTGATCCTGTCGGGCTCTGTCAACCCCAATATCAATTGCATTCATCAATTCTGGCTCTCCTTCCTCCAGGATATGCACAATCCAGCCATTGATCCATTCTGGTTTTGAACAATTGTCGATTATGCTTTCTAGGATGACACCTGATAATATTTCGCAAAGAAAGATTCGAACCGGTTCACACTCGTACAAACCGGGCTGTAGAAACGTTTGTAGGACGTCGGACGCGACGAGCCTGAGCTTCGCATGCTGTTGGCTTGTTGATAAAACATTCGCTAGATTACTTTCAGGGTATTCATTCAGGTAGGATGAAATTGCATCTGCTGTAGAGATTGGGGTGTGGGAAGTGGATTCCAAGGCAGATGAGAGTTCGTTTAAGAATACGATAATGATAGACGATGCATTGGTGACAAAATGAAGGAAAATATCTGCCGGTCTTTTCCGCGAGAGGTGAGAGGATATGGAAATAATAAAACGTGAAAGGCTCAAACGGCAGGACTGTGGAAACGTCTGTTCTGATGATAGTAGAGGCCCATACCACCATCTACAGTTTCTTAGTTAGTCCGCGAAGGTCGCGAATGAAATAAATAAATAAAAAGGAAAAAGGAAAAAGAAAAAAACATTGTACTCACTGGACGTAATCTCGAATGACGGCATCAGTCAACGCATGCAAAGCTGCTGCCGTTGCGGGCTGGAATCCGGAATAATCCAACGTGGGAATTGATATATCAATATCACTCGCTCCTGTGCTTGGTTTATCACCAGTCCTCGATTCTTCCCAACTCAGCAGTCTATTCGCCACTTCGATGGCCAACTCCCGCTTCCTTTTCGAGGGCCTTGAATTCACCGATCCATCCCCACAGTCTTTGTGGTCCTCCCATAATGCATGCAGCCCGGCACCGGCGACAGCCCCAAATAGCACCAGGCTAAGTTTTCCGAACACGAAATATATAGTCGCAAAGACGACTCCACCCAAAGTAGCCAAAGTGGCATTGTTAGCGGACGAGAGAAATTGCAAGCATTGATCAATGAGAGGGCTATGTCCGACCATAGTAGAAGGAGAGGTACTCGTGGCATCAATTGTACGCTCTGCAGAATCTCTGACACGACTTGTCATCTCTTTTGGTTGAGACTCATCCATTATCCCAAAGGATTCGCCAACGGCGCGACACTACTCACTGCATTGCTGTGATGGCGATGAGATAGTTGTCAAATAATCAATCCCAACCAGAGCCGTTTATTAAAAGCCGCGGGGGTTGGAACAATCCAATCCCCAGTGAGCAGCCGGTAGCATTGGTACAAGTACAGAGCTGTACAGAGTATGGTATGGTAACGTTTTCGTGCCATACAGTATTTAAATAAGCACTCTTTCCTGGTATCATTGTATGACCAACGCGTATCGTATGTATCATATGTATATATGTTTTCCCCGCCGCGCTCTTGCTCGCTATATCAACTCGCTCGGGTTTAAAAGTTCACAATCCAGCGCAACCTTCCAACGCAAAAGTCTTGTTGCCTGAGATATTCTTTGTTGGTCAACCAGATGGTCAAGCCTCCATATCACATATCTCATCATTCATGGTGTCCCCGTTATTTAGTTCATTTCGACTAGCGACTCGCAGCCAGACCAAGCTCCCACGATGCCACTCTCCTTCGGTTTATGGTCATCATGTATCATGGGCCGATCCAGCGGTCAAATCTAGATTCCCTATTGGGTTTTCAGTGTCTCTTCACACGGCACTATTTTTTCCTGGTTTGCACTCCGCCCATCCTCCGTTAATCAATGCTAAATCTCGATAGGCCATGGCGTTCAACGAGTGGGAATGACTACCCCGTGGTTGGACGCTTTCCCATCCACCGTGAAGCCGTTTCTAGAAGAAATGGATAGCACTCTTAACGTTCGGCTCTCGACGATTATCTCGGACGGGCCAAACTCGAACCTAAACAAGACTGAGAATTCTCAACCTGCAATCATGGCGACGTCGATATTGATCCTTCGCGTTCTCCAGGAACATTTTGGCTTCGATACAAGCACACAGATCGATGTTGCGTTGGGCCATAGCCTTGGAGAGTACGCTGCTTTGGTGGCTGGGGGTTATATAGGATTTGGGCCAGCTCTCAAGATGGTTCGACGCAGGGCAGAGATGATGGCTCAATGCACCGCTGACGCAGGAAAACTGACCGGGGAAACTTATGGGATGGTGGCGCTCGTCTGTGAGCCTGATCGGTTGGCAGACTTGATTACAACAATCCAGGAATTCTTAGACCATGGCTCTCGGTGGTCAAACGACGAGGGCAACTACGAGCTATCGCCAATGCAACAAGTTTCAATTGCAAATGTCAACTCTAAAAACCAAATTGTACTCAGCGGTAGCATCGAGCGGATTAAGCATCTGTTGATACAGCTTCGGCAGTTTTCGGGTCATGATCCGAGAGCTGTCCGCTTAAGGAGCGAGAGCCCGTTTCACAGCCCAGTTATGAAACCAGCAGCAGACTACATGCGAAAGGCTCTTGAGCATGTGGAAATAAAGTTTTCGGCATCGATCCCCTGCATTTCAAACGTATCCGCAGTTCCCTTCCGTTCAAAAGAAGATCTCAAAGACCTCCTTTCAAGGCAGTGTGTGGAGACTGTAAGGTGGTGGGATAGCATACGATATCTTGATCAGGAACGCGGGGTGAAACGGTGGATTGGTATCGGTCCCGGCAAAGTTGGAAGAAATCTTGTGGGAAAGGAAGTCGGAAAGGTCTCTGCCCGAGGTGGAGGAGTGTGGGCGATCTGTGACCCCAGAGAGATTGAGCAGGTACTTACTGACTTAAGTAAAAGTAATGAGAATACAGTACATTGAATATCAATAATATATAGAGAAGTGCTATTATAATATAATAATAATAATTAAAAAAAAAATAATTAAAAAAAAAATAACCAGAATTACCAGAATCGGCTTTTTCACACAAAATTACTCAATTTTTTGAATAAAAAACCTGTCAATAGATTCATTGAAAAGCTCTTGATTCAATGAGTATTTATTTATATGTAAACAGAGAGCATATACTTTTCTATTTTTAAAGAATCAAATTAGCTATACACAACTCACATGCATATCTCAAGAATAGTTAGTGAATCTATATTCAAATCTATATAGTGAGTCAACAGGTCTCATATTTTACACTAATATTAACAAAACATTCAAAATCAATGAAGAGATTTTGAGCTCCTCTGTGACATCTTTCTTGAACAACACTTGTAGAAGATCTTCAGAGAGAAAACAAAAAGAGATTTCTGAAATTCAAAAGGCTCACTGCAGAAGAGCTTGTATTTGAGTCCTGGTTGATGGAGTGGCTTAACTTCAGGAAAACCACCTAGGGCAAGAAAACTCTCTTTCTCTTTTCAGGCTGAATCAATTAGAAGCTAGTTTTGAAAGATCTATATCCACATTAAATTTTATATAGTACTCCGTCCTCCGTACTCCGTACTTACTCTGTATAGAGTAGCGTGAAATATTAATATTATATCCATGCCATGGGAACCGCCTCCCGGAATTATGATTTCCTGTTAGCTGACATAAGCATCGCCAAGATCGGCTCCGACCTTCCCATCTTGCCCAACTCCGGTGAGAGATATCTAGAGAAACTCCCAATCTAGTTAATCTCGACGTTGCCGGGTTTGAATTGTATTGACTATCGACAGCTACATTGGGATGCGGTCGACCCAGGTATTGAGAGCGGCAAAGTCTGCCAATGCTATCCCCGTTAACCAGGTACCAAAATACATCCTGCCCTCGTCTCCCTTCCGTCAAATCATGCTGATTTCTAAGATTCTCTGAATTCAACAGAAATACACTCTTCAATCTACCGGCGTTTGGGAACGCATTCGTCGGTTTTTAGCCGTCGACCCTAACAGATCAAATGGTGTTCCATTGAACCCTCAATTCCGAAACCCCACCCCAGGCGCACTCGCACCACAATCCTACGATGACCCTGTCACGCTGCCCGCTGGCGATATTGCTGACAACCCATACTGGAAACGAGATGGACGACGAAATTACGCCCGCCCAAGCGTACTGAGGCAGGCGGATGTTGTAGGACTTCTTACTGTTGGAAGTGAGGCGTCTCCTAAAGCAGACGTTCTTCAGATCGGAGACGCGGGCGCCCAGCAGCTTGTGGAAGTTAGGCAAAAAGGAGAGGCACACGGGTTAGCTGCATTCTTCGAGAAGGAAAAGAATGTTCAGGGTGTGCTAGACTCACAGGGACTCCCGCCTATGGCTCCGAACTTAAACCCGGCATCGAGGTATGAGCTAGGCACTGAACATGGCTATCCGTCGAGGTAAGGTGCCCTATGAATGACAATTGCTGTGATGTATAGCTAACATTGCATCAAAGTTATCCATGCCGTACTTTCGTGTAATTTTTCCGTACCAGAGCCAGTTTAGTTTTCATCTCATAGAGGCAAATGTACAGATTTCTTTTCGTTAAGCTTATTCTTGTGATTTGAATGAACATTTCGTATCAACTGCAAGATACATCTCCCTTGGGAGATATGTAGGTGTAGATTCCAATACTTATCCGAACGTGGTGCCGGAGCCGTTTTGATATAGACCTCGATTTGCCAGGAAACTAGGTTCAAAGTTCCCATGCTTTCCATTGGGGCTAGAGGCATTCGAAACTAGTAGACCAAACATATATTGATTTATGTGTCTAAATATCACGTATCAGATTACAGTCAAGAAAAGAAGAGAATCAACTGTCAGGGTTGGAGGAGCCATTAGAAGAACAAACTCTCTCCTCGAAAAGTCATCATAGAACTCTTAAAGCCTCTTCTCGGCACTTTAGTGACTGTTTCTCCTGTTATTTGTAGGTAATTCCATAGATTATTAACCACTGTCCGCAACGCCATATACGGTATGGAAATTCTATAATAGGGATTGTTGGTCTTCCTTACATATAGTCATGTAGCAAAATAGCTCCACCACTCTCTGGATTGCATTTGGTACCTAAAAAAAGTTCCCAATTTCCCCCGCTCACCATTGCCACCCTTCCCCTCCTTTTCTCAGACAGTCACTTTCAAAGATTTTCTAGGGGACCGAGGTGTATGCATAGATAGGAATGGAAACACCAATATACTCAGAAAAAATATTCAGTCAAACTCCTACCAGAAAAAGCATTCCAATTATTTAAACTTTTTTTATTATGACTTTCATTAATAGTAAAGGACCAGCGCATAAAGAAACGTAGCTTCGAGCATCACTCCAAGAAGTTATCTCCAAGTAGATGCAGACATCATATGATATGTTTTTACCTTCCAGTTCTTATGGCTGTACAGAGAACAATCAAACGCACATCCATTTATACATAGCGAATCACATATACAAATTCGACATCCCTTCCCATTCTTCTTCCTCATATCCTCCCTACCTTCCTGACAAATCCTGGTACAGTCGAATACGTCCGCCATGTACCAGTTATCCCTAATCGAAGGGATTAGTTCTCGTTCCCCACCAGGTGAGGAACAAGCTCAACCCAACAGTCTCCAGGACTCTTGTCAGGACGCCAACTGCAACAGTATCCATTGGCCTTCGCTCCGTAACAACCTGTGAGATAAACTGCAAATCAATCAGAGTTAGCCATGATTCAATTAATCTTCCCCCAACCAGAGCCCTTATTTAGGCTTGGACTGAATCGATCATCCAAACAAATCAGAAAATAGAATACTACTTACACTAGGCGCTGCACTGGCAAAGAAAATCAAGCTTCCCAGGTAAGCAGCTCCCTTATAACTCAATGTGCCTGTGGCATTGATCAACGCGCCAACTCCATAGCTCTGCACGGCGCTGCCAATCAAAGAACTGCTCCATGCTGCTGCGGCAGAAGCAGCTTCCTTGGACTTGAAGAATTCCTCTTTTGAGTTGGCGGCCTGTGCGCGATGGTAGGTATCACCGAACACTGGGGTTAGGACACCCAAGGATGCAACATGATTGAAGATAGTGCCCAGGGCAATGGCAGATGGTTTGACGGTGGGGAGATCTGGAGGTTAGATGTGCATGTTAGTGGAGGTGATTGAGACAACGAGGTTGGGCAGGTAAGCTGACGTACATTGAAGAGTGGCCATGTTTTCGAATGTACGTGCGGTTCAAGTGGGAGATATTGCTCTTGTACAGAGCTGTTTATTATTTAAATGGTCAAGAGTATCAATTCCAGCATTTAGCTATCCTCGAAGTATTTAAATAGTAAACTGAAAGCTGAAGGCAAAAAAAGAAATGGTGCTAGAAGAGGGAGTTGTTGACTTTATGAGGGGAGACGGCGAAGGAGGTTGAATGGAAATGATGACGTCGTTATGACACCCGCAAAACGTTTGGGGGGGGGAAGCAAAATTCCAGTCAACAATGTGGAGCTTTACTGGAATCGCTGTCTCATTCCATAAAACTAGGCATATTTGAAATACGAATAGGCTTTATGCTACGATATTTATCATCTATATCCAATCCGCCTATGGCATAACTTAATGCGACATGTAGATGGATATCTAGTTAAATCTGGTATTCCGCAGCTACTCAGAAGAGGGTCGAAAGTGGATACATAGTAGATTTCAGGTTTTGAACACCTATGTCCATATCAGGCATTCACGCTTTCTTAACATGATTACTGGGTAGGTTGTTTGCCAGGGGCAATCATATCACATCCAATGATCTCATCGGACGGCCCCTGGATTCGACATCATCGCTCGCAAAGAGGGGTGGTTTTACCATCTCGGCGCTCCTTGCGCGTTCTTGACAGCATTTGCGACATGATAAAGTGGCTTACATCCTCATCAGCCCAGTAGGAAAGATGGCTGGCAATGCTGGCAATAAGCGATATATCAAACGCTCCTCTATATCATCGTGCTTAGGTTAGCCTGTGTTAAAAATATTAAAAAGACAAAACCATGAATATATCACATGAATACATAAGGCAGTGGTTTAAAACGTACTCTTGTATACTGTAGTCCACCCGGCCATTAGAATTCAAAGCGCGCACTTTCGCCTCCTCATACCTTATCTTGCGCGCGCGATTTTCAGCCTCGATATCTTCAATTGTTGATGACTCCGACCCACTAGCTATGTCGGTCGGTGAGCTCCTAGTTTTCTGGAACCCATCATATAATGTTTCGATATTCGCATCGATGAGCGTCGGGTATTTCTGGGATCGGCTCGGTTCGTTGGTCACCACTTCCCCACTAGCCGCGAGCGATTTCTCGTTGTCCGAGTCGCTACCTAAGCCAGCTATTTTTAATGGACCTCCAGCAGCTGATTGCGGCTGTGTTGATCCGTCACTCAAGCCCAAACTGCGGTTCAGAAAGCTGCTTGCAACACCGGAAGCAAATTGGGACCAGAGGGATCCGACACTCTGACCCACGCGAGTACTGATATTGGTGAGGCTCTGACCTGATGTACTCCATATTGTCCGTTTGACGTATGGCAGCGGTTGAGGTTTCAGCGCAGCCATTGCTGGGGATATCAAGGGTTCAATGCGGTAACTAATAGGGTCAGACGGATGGAAGATATTGAACAGTTGATTGCATTTAGGTGACGAGACTGAGTTGGGAAAACAAGGGGATCCGGTCGAGTCTGTTATGGACGTCCCTGTTGAAATATTATGAGAGTCTGTAGGTTTGTATGATTGGCGAGAAAACTTTGAGCTTTTCAAGTCCCTTCCGGCAATAGTTTTCCCTTTCAGCATCTGGAAAAGGGCAATCGGAGATCCGAGGCAAAAGAAATCAGCACATTCGAAATCCAAGAGGAAGGCTTCTGATTGGCGATTTTCAGCTGTTCTGATTTTAGCACGTTTAGAATCCCGACTAGGGGGCTTCGTGTGTCCTGAATCACTTGGCTGGTGGCAGAGGATATCGAAAAGTATTGCACTACCCAGGGAATGACCGCAGAGACTGACAGAACCTTTAAACGTTGGATTGCGGTCCTTGAAAAGTTTATATATGCGATTACATTCCCTTTGCACGATACCGGCAATATGCTCTCGATATGCACTCTGGTAAAGCAGAACATCCATAGCCAGATCTGTAATCAGATTCCGAACAGCAGGGACCCCTTCTAATGTTATGTCGGCCAAACTGGGATAGTGCTCATCTTCGGCTGCCATTTTATCAGCGTCAGCAAGGTCGAGCTCCTTGCGGTGCTGTTTGAGTCCTTGTTTTGGAAAGTCAAGTAAATGTCTCCAGCATACGGGGAGGACTTGGACACGACAATTTTTGAGCTCGGAGTCGACTTGTGAGTTAAGAGCCTGCAAATCAGTTGATGCGGCGTACACGCTTTTCATGGTCTTCCTAAGGACATTGACGTCGTGCACGAAATTAATACTGTCCAAACGCAGTCCCAATCTTTGACCAATCCCATGAGTGACAAGAATGAGATGATCAATTTCTCTGTCCTCTTCTTCGCCTTCCACTTCTCCTGAATCTACCATCTCTTTTTCTTCCTGTTTCCGCGCCTGTTCTTCGAGTTCTTTTATTTGGTCATCGTCCTGTCGCTCTCCAGTCAAAGATGACATCTGACGCTCAAGTGGGCTTCTTTGGCGCTCCAAGGCGGCAAGTGGCTGATCCTGACCATTATCATCTGGGGCAAGTGGTGAAGACAAAGAGTCAGGAGGAGCTGATTGTCTTTTAATGGACTTAGTCGGGTTTTTGGGTGTTAACTCGGCGGCTTTCCCGTCTGCTAGTTCTTTCACTTTTTTGCTTTCCGAATATCCGCGAACGACTTTTGACCCTGCGGTTGCACCGAGCCGCTGATATACGGTATTGCTCATCCTCGATACAAAATCATCGGACATAAGCCATGCTGTAGATTCATCCTGGTATGCCACTGTATTGTTCATGTAGGACCCAAAAAGGCGATATGTTTCATTCATAGTCTTAGATGCGGATGAAGCCGCCCCCGCTGCTACATGAGACGGACCTTCTTTGTTGACTTGGTCCGCATTGGAGTTCAGTGACCCTGCGTTTCTGGGGTCTTTGGAAGACAAGGACACATTGCTCGCTAACGGGTTGCTCGATGAGCGCTTTCGTTGGATATTCCATGGTTTTACTTTCAAATAACCTTCCTCCAACTGAGTTGCAAGATTTTCATCGCACGGACGGAGATTTGAGCCTTCCTGAAAGAACCAAGAACCACGTCTAACCTCGTATATCGGGCCTTGCCAATAGGCAGGGCCAAGTTCCCTCTTCTGAACGTCGACATCGAATAAGTAATCTTCATTGACGGGAACCTTGACAGTCTGCGAAGAAGGATCCCTGGGGGTATCCCTCAATTTGGATGATTCCGCAGCATCTTCTCGATCCGCAAGATCCTGAAAGGCAGCTTCAATAGACTGAGAATCTCGTATCGAAAAAGGAACAAATTTTTTAGGAGCTCCCTGAGATTTAGGAGCAACTGCCTCCTTGCCCCAAAACGACGGTTTCGACTTTGGAGTATCAACCGCATAGAACCACCTAGTTTTTAGTGGGGGGCAATCTCTTGGATAGCGAGCTGCACTGATGCGATGGACTTGGGATACGGTATGGTCACGACCCTGCGACCGTTGTAAACATGGCTTTGCATTCTCAGCCTCCAAGCCTTCAGGTTGGGGTGTTCCGCTTCGGCTTCGTGATGTATTGCGTGAGGAGGCAGCGGGGAAAGAATCCGGCCGCGGGTCAGAATTGGACATCTGTCCCCAACGACCCCAAATCGTTTTTCGCAGCTGTGTGAAGCTAGTAGGACAGAGTTGAAACGAGCGACGAAAGAGTAAGCAAGAGTAGTTTGCCAGTTTCGAGGAAATATTGGCCTATGAGGCCAAATGTCAGGGTCCTTGTCTGATATCTCCAATCAAGGGGCGCGGTGTTGGAAAAAAGTCGAGAGCTGTACCCTCAAACCATAAGCACAAAGAACGGTATGGTATGATACAGTAGCCAACTCGTGGTGTATACGTAAACTGAAGTCCTTGATTAAAAACAGTTGCCTCCAGCTTGAACGCGCACTGTCTGGATATGTCTCTTAGATAATAAGAACATATTTGTTGTCATTCCTACTGAGTATAAAAATGGTTGTTGGTTTCGGCTCATGACGTAGGCGGATGTATGGCAGTCGTAAAATACGGCGATACGACACGGAATGCTGCTGCCTGCTGTGGTATCGCCCAATACAAGCTTTATGATACGCGGCCTCAGCCCCATCCCACCTAGTTGACGCTGCGTTGCAATTTCAACTGCTGCAACCACCACGCCAGAGAGATATATATACCCATCCATTGTACTAACTGCCGCGTTGTGCTTCCAATTTCCACGAGCGAGGCCTGCGCTTCTCTATCTACAACAGACCTACTATCGATTGTGGTTCTTTAGCTTTCGAGTCGCCAGACTCGCCTTTGTTCATACATCTACCCCGCCAACGCAAAAGCTCCCTACCCTCAACCAGAGTCGCCTCGTTCTACTGCCGCGATGAACGTCATAAAACTCCAAAAGTATGATATACTAGTGTTGGTGCAGATTGAATGGACCTCCTAGGCGCTAATGAATATTTTTCAACCAATTTCAGGAAATATCCCCAGTTCCAACAGAGCGAAATATTTTCTCTCCAGGATGCTTTCCGGCGTCTAGATGTGGATGACAAGGGCTATCTTGACGAGGCTACGGCTATTAAAGCAACCCAGCAATCTGAAAGACAGCCATACGATGTTGTTCGTCAGGCCTTGAAGCAGGTCGAGCTGGACAGCTCGAGGCGCGTTGAGCTCGAGGACTATGTTGATGTACCTCCGCCCAAACAACTCGCATATTCCCTCTTCTCTAGAGTCCACATTGAGGGGCTAACATTTATTTTGCATTGTAGCTGATAGCAAAACTCCGCGATACTTCATCCGCGCCATCCCAACGTTCTGCTGGTCCAGCACCAACTCCCACGGGCCCAACCCGTGCCCGCCATGTGTCCAAGGGGAGTATCGGGGGGAAGATTCATGTTCAAGGCTCCTCTGCGAATGTCACCCACACCATCAATGAAGACGAACGGACTGAATTCACACGACATATCAACGCAGTCCTTGCCGGTGATCCCGATATTGGCCACCTCCTTCCGTTCCCAACTGACACCTTCGAGATGTTCGACGAATGTAAAGACGGCCTAGTGCTCGCCAAATTGATCAATGACAGCGTTCCCGATACCATTGATGAACGAGTATTGAACCGCCCAGGCAAGAAAATAAAGCAGTTAAACGCTTTCCATATGACCGAAAACAACAATGTCGTCATTAACTCCGCTAAAGGCATTGGCTGCTCCGTTGTCAATATTGGTAGCGGTGATATCATCGAAGTTCGAGAGCACCTCATATTAGGCTTGATCTGGCAGGTTATTCGCAGAGGCCTTCTCGGAAAAATCGATATCAAGCTTCACCCCGAACTCTACAGGCTTTTGGAAGATGATGAGACTCTGGAACAGTTTCTCCGGCTTCCACCCGAACAAATTTTGTTGCGATGGTTCAATTACCATCTGAAGAATGCTAAGTGGGACAGGAGGTATGTACCTGTTGGAAGTAGACTTTCTATGCCACCGCTAATAGTAGATAAAAACAATTCAGAGTCAACAACTTCTCAAACGACGTCAAGGATGGAGAAAATTATACGATCCTTCTCAACCAGTTAGCTCCAGATATCTGCTCCCGCGCACCTCTCCAAACTCGCGACTTACTCCAGCGAGCAAATCAGGTCTTGGAAAATGCAGACCTCCTCGAATGCCGCAAGTTTTTGACCCCAACTTCTCTAGTAGCAGGCAACCCGAAACTCAACCTTGCTTTCGTGGCAAACCTATTCAACACACATCCAGGCCTAGACCCTATTACAGAGGAAGAAAAGCTTGAAGTCGAAGATTTTGATGCCGAGGGTGAGCGTGAAGCCCGTGTTTTCACTCTTTGGTTGAATTCTCTGGATGTACAACCAGCTGTCAACTCGTTATTCGACGACCTTCGCGATGGAACAATCCTCCTGCAAGCTTATGATAAAGTTATCCCAGGAAGCGTTAACTGGAGACATGTCAACAAACTCCCTACTTCCGGGGGCGAGCTCATGCGGTTTAAAGCTGTGGAGAATACAAACTATGCCATTGAACTAGGAAAACAAAACCACTTTTCCCTTGTTGGCATCCAGGGAGCCGATATTACTGACGGCCAGCGGACACTGACCCTCGGGCTTGTATGGCAGCTCATGCGCAAGGATATCACCAACACACTATCCTCACTCGCGCAGAGAATGGGTAAGCGTGAGATCACCGACAGTGAGATGATCAAATGGGCAAATGACATGTCACGCGCTGGGGGCAAGGGTTCGACCATCCGTAGTTTCAAGGACCAAGCAATAGGAACTGGTATTTTCTTGCTTGATGTCCTCAACGGAATGAAGAGCAACTATGTAGACTACGACCTGGTTACCCCTGGACGTACAGATGAAGATGCGTACGCAAACGCGAAATTGAGTATCAGTATTGCACGAAAGATGGGCGCGACCATCTGGCTTGTTCCCGAAGATATTTGCCAAGTTCGCTCCCGACTGGTTACCACTTTTATTGGTATGTTGACATATCTCCCCCTTAATTTACCCTTGTTGTATAAGTTGTCTCCTCTCCAGTATATGATGTCAGGTTTAATTGCTAATATTCTTTCGTTTCCCAGGCTCTTTGATGGCTACGTACGAGAAAATGTAGGAAAGAGATTGCAACATGAACGAAAATGTCCCGGGAGGCTGTTATGGACCCATATGTATGGCCGGCTAGATACTTGCTCTCCTGCGAGAACACACCCCCTCCTTTTAACTTTCCCCAACATCAAGTCTTTTCTCCTTTTTTTTTTTTTTTTTTTTTTTTTTTTTTTTTTTGTTTTTATCTTCACCCCTTCCTTTCCTTAACGTGTCTCCTCATTCCTGGCTCATTGATTGGTTAATTGGTTCGGGACCCATCGTGACAACTACCGTAGGTAACCTACCAGCTCATAAGCTCTCTTCAAGCTTAGATACCAATATTACTGTCCAAAAGTAAGAAATTATGCTCTAACATGATTCGTTTTGTATGAAGAGGAAGGCAAATTGGGTGGAGAAAGCTACGTTGTTTGTTTTGGCAATATGAAGGTGGCCTTATTAGGCTCCTCTCTAGGTAGACATTGATGAGCTTGGAAACAGAGAATTTAAAATATTATTTCAACCATGAAGAAACAAAACGTACTTTTCAAATTATGGAGCTATCTGTGAACTAGAAAGTCAATAGTGGCAAGCAACTCACTGGTGGGCGTTTCCAAACCAGCAAGCTGCCCAGGAGAAATTTACGAAAACAAAGTGCTGAACTTCCCACAAGTGGGGCAGGCTTTTGAGAGAGCACAATGGTAGCTTTCGTTGATTTCACCAGAACAATGAACCCCTGTTAATAGAAATCGGCATTACCCTCTCATAGCAAGCACACTTCGAGTGACAAAGTAAACAGGAAACAGAAAACAAAAACAGAAGCCAAGCAAATGGGCAAAACATTCTTTTTTAAAAAACAAAACCGAGGAATGATAGAGAGGGGGTTGCAAGGGGTGTATTATCTGGATATATTGTGAGGAAATACCGATTGTCGAAACAGTCTGCGACTTTCAAATGGGCTACCTATTAAAGTGTGGTTTCCAGGCAAATAGCTCCCAGTGCCGAGGACGAAAAGGGGGGTTCACTGCAGAGCAAATTACCGCCATCATTTGTACTTTTCAAAAAAATGGTGGGCGAAAATGTTACTTGATCAGGGGATGCAAAACTCGGATTCACTCAGCAGTATCCAGCTCATCATGAGCAGGGGTTGGAGAATCCAGGGGTACTGATGAATACGGTTAGCAAAAAATGTATCAGAATAGTGATTCATCTTTTTTTGAAGATTGATAAGCCCATACCTTTCCTGTCATCACTATTCGTTCCATTCTCGCGATCGTCGTCACGCCTATCGCGATCATCCTTCATGTCGCGATCCCGGTCCCGCTCACGGTCCCGGTCATCAGGACTCCGCGAGCGGTCGCGGTCACGTCTCTCGTAATCGCGGTCGCGACGGTCATCTTTGCGGGGAGAGAACTCTCCGCGAGCTCGTCGGGGAGATGGAGAGCGGGGACGGCGAGGGGGAGTACGGTCTCGGCGGCGGTCACGGCCGGAATCAAAGCGCCAGGACGCAGATGGAGGAGTACGTGCCCACTAATAACTGTTAGCTCGAACTAGATAAAATATCGACAAACAGGGATTAATTACCTCGATTTTTAGAAGGTCGTCCCTACCGATACGTTTGTTGTGCATTTCATGATAGGCGTCGTCGGCATCGCGACGGCTCTCGTACTCAACAAACGCAAAACTATAGATAGTGTCAGGTCATTCAAAGCCAATTGAGATCAGTCTCCCGCCATTCGATGCGAAAGAAGGAACTTACAGGCGACTAGAAGCGGTACGGGGAGCTGGGATATCGCAGCGAACAAGCCGACCATATCTTCATCAGGCGGGTTAGCAAATTGCACTATGAAATACTTTGATGCAAGTAATCGCGAATAGAGATAAGTGGAGGAAAGTGGATGAGAGAACGGGTAAGGTATGCAAGAAATATGATTTTTTTCTTCTTTTTTTTTTTAAGACTCAGGAGGAGCCATGCCAAGAATCATCATTATTTTCATGGTGGACAGTTATTCAGGAAGAAAAGCGCCGGTAAGGCCGTGCGTCGGGCGCCAGGTAAAGGGGGGGGAGAGGAGGAAGGAGTAGAAGCATCGGTATCACGAATTTTTCGAGTCAAGACGAACGAAGAAGAGGGAGGACCGTCCGCAGGATATCGGCAGGGGAGGATCGACGAATAGGACATACCGTTCGAATTCGTAGGCTAGTTCTCGAGCTCGAGTGCCGTGGCCGAAACCAGTGACATAGAGAGTAGTGCCGCCACGAGACATGGTGAAAAGGGATAGTTGAACAACAGCAGCAAGGGGAAACAGTGGAAGCAGAAAGCCTAGCAACGACAAAGATAAAAGAATACCAAACAAAGCGGATGGAAAAAGCACCAGCTTAAAGAGAAACAGTAAAAAGAGGTGATGGAGATGAAGGGATATCTAGATGGTGATGAGATAGGAGGAGAGATGGATGGAGATGGGGATGGTGAGGTTGAAGATAGAAGAAGAAGAGACGACGAGAAACGAACGACGACGGTGACGAGAGAAAATGTTTTGAGCTTGGGCCAAAAACAGACGTGCTGGTAATACGAATAATATGCTCAATACGCCTGGTCCGCGTAATATATTACAGCATTTGCCGAGGGTTAGACGTATTATTGATACAAGATATATGACAGTACCGTACCGATTTCGTACGCAAGCAGCATCCGTGGATGTAATGTACTGTACATGTACTGTACCGTACCTGTACATATATACAATACGAGAGTGTACGTACTGTATATAGCGTCTCGGCCAGGGACAAGACAAAGGCTGGCTGGTTCCTCTCGGAATGCCGCCCAGTCACGTGTCCGTCACAACGACAAACCTTGGTTGAAAAAAATTAAGAACAAGATTCCCGAACAGTCAGCCAACGCCGAATTCGAAGCCAGCGCAAAACTGGGTCGTCGCTGGAGCGCCTTGCATATACTGTTGATTGCCGCTACACTCACTAGTCGAATGCACCACTGTCCTCTCGGCAATACCTTCGCGGCTTCTTGTCGCAATTGATATCATCGTCCTCGTGTGCCGATCTCCATACCTGATCAGTTGACGTACCCCCATCGGTCAACCCTAGCCTCTGCCTCCCCCGTTTGGCAGATTGATGAGGAATAAAAAGAGAGCGAAAGGGAGAAAACAGAACTTTTGGAAAATATAGCATTCGATCTCTCCACCTTTCCCTCGGCTTATTGTTTCAAGTACCAAACCTGCTTCACACGGTGTATGCTTTTTCCATGGACTGTGCAGTGTTAAGACTCCTATTGCCAGAGTACTGCCTTTCAAACCACTAGTACATATCTGCAGATCTGTCTCTCTTTATATATATATATGTTTGGCCCCGCCTGATGAAAGAGCTTTCCCAAGATACTCAGGCGAAGCGAGTTACTCGTCCAACGTGCTTTGGCTAGTTTGTGAGATCGGGGACTCAACCCGTACTGGGTTCTTGACGCGGGTTCCTCACCATGAGGCTCGGTCCTAGAGATACAGCTCGAAATGAAGCTTCGGAAAGGGAAATGACACCGTTATCGTCGGGCGAGTCCAAGTCGCGCATAGAGGTACGGATATTACATCTCTTCTTTGGAAACATCATGTTGTTTCCGACCTTTCAGTTTTCCTGGGGTTAACTATCTCCTCAATACAACTAGGACACTCTTCCGCAACCGCCTACTTCTCTCCTCAGACAAACTCGGGACAAGTTATCGGAACCTGTGACCGCCGCTTTTATTGCAGGAGGGGTTGCCGGTGCGGTGTCTCGAACGATAGTTTCCCCTCTCGAGCGATTGAAGATTTTGCTTCAAATTCAGAGCGTCGGCCGAACGGAATACAAACTATCTATATGGAAGGCTTTGGTCAAGATAGGTAAAGAAGAAGGGTGGAGAGGTTACATGCGTGGCAATGGGACAAATTGCATACGCATAGTGCCTTACTCTGCTGTACAGTTTGGAAGCTACAGTTTTTATAGAAGGGTAAGCTTAAGAATCAGAATTTGCTGGGTTTACTGTGTATTTTGCTAACAAGGATCTCAGTTCTTTGAACCAACCCCTGGGGGTGAACTTACTCCCTTACGTCGCTTAATATGTGGAGGTATGGCGGGTATCACGTCTGTCACGTTTACTTATCCATTAGATATCGTAAGAACGCGACTTTCGATACAGTCTGCGTCGTTTAGCGAACTGCGCAAAGGACCAGAACAAAAGTTACCCGGAATATTCCAGACAATGCGGTCGATGTACAAGACCGAGGGCGGCATCCTTGCTCTTTACCGTGGAATAATCCCCACCATTGCGGGCGTTGCTCCCTATGTAAGTGTTTGAATCGCTGAAATACTTCCCATTGCTCCCAATGGTCAACGCTAACTTCTTTTACAGGTTGGATTGAATTTTATGACTTATGAGTCAGTACGAAAGTATCTGACCCCTGAAGGGGACCTTAACCCTAGCCCTTACCGCAAGCTTCTAGCCGGTGCTATATCAGGAGCCGTTGCTCAAACATGCACATATCCATTGTAAGGCGAAATTTTACTTTTTACCTTTTTAAATATTATCTAATTAAACATTACAGTGATGTCCTCCGAAGAAGATTCCAGGTCAATACCATGTCAGGTTTAGGGTACCAATACACCTCCGTGTGGGATGCGGTGAGGCTTATCATAAAGCAAGAAGGAGTCAGAGGCTTATATAAAGGAATTGTACCGAACTTGCTTAAAGTGGCACCAAGCATGGCAAGCAGTTGGCTCAGCTATGAACTAACGCGCGATTTTTTGGTCGGGCTGGGTGAAGATAATAGTGATTAAAATGGCTCAAAGCGCGAATTGGCAACCTGGTCCCGACATGCACTCCTCGCATGCCTGGTCAAACACCGATTGTTATAAACACTCCGCGCCGCCTATGGACCCGCTTGACTGTCAAAGATTTCCTTGACTGTGATATCATGCCATACATGTTAGAAAATTTTTCCCTTCGATGGCCCACTGTGTTCCATCTGTCTATTCCTTTATTTTTCTTTTACCTTTTCACTTTTTGTTTCTCGGATTTCCTTATACTTCTCGCATCTGACGAGCTGAAGAATTGCTAGAAGTCCACATCGTTTTAGAGGGGAAAAAATGAAGAATTGTCTTTGAATCCAATTCCATAGACAAGTCGTTCGGCTAATCAATACAGTGCAAGGGTTGTACATATATCAGCATATAGGTACCTAGGTTTATACCAAAAATAAAAATAAAAAATAAAAAATAAAAATAAAAAAATAAAAATAAAAATAAGAAAAATAAAAACCAAAAACCAAATATCAACTTAATCGCATTAGGTGGGAACCTTTGGAACCGCGCCACTTTCCATTTATAGACTAGCGTGGATATGTAAGACTTGGTGAACGCGGCTCTAGCCATCCGTCCCAAACGGGCTAGCGTAGGGTTACGCCCGCACACTCCCTCCGCTCCAAAATATTGTCAAGCAGAACATCTTGTTGTCTTCGAATCTCGCATCGGTGCAAAAGTCAACTTTCGACAACGGTATCCATTTCCACCAGCAGCCATGGGTAAGCATTTTTCGATTTTATCCTGAGTTTATTTCGAAGATTTGTTGTTGATTAAAAGCGACTTGCGTTTGCTGAGGTGGAATACTGACACTATTCTCTTCCTAATCTTCCCAGGTATCGATTTGGACCGTCACCATGTCCGGGACTCCCACCGCAAGGCGCCCAAGAGCGAGAATGTCTATCTTTTGCTTCTCGTGAAGCTCTACCGCTTCCTTGCCCGTAAGCTAAATTCCCGCGAAATTCCTTGAAATTGAAGAAGAATTAGGGCAATAAAAGGCGACCCAGCAATCAATTTGTGAAAAGTACAAAACCATTTTCTAAAATCCAAACAACACAGGCCGTACCGACTCCAACTTCAACAAAGTCGTCCTACGCCGTCTCTTTATGTCGCGCGTCAACCGTCCTCCCGTATCCCTCTCTCGAATCGTAGCTGCCGTAGGAACCAAGGAAACCGCTGAGGCAAACAAGGGAAAGACCATTGTTGTTGTTGGTACCGTCACTGATGACAACCGCCTCCTGAACCTCCCAAAGATGTCAGTCGCAGCTCTCAGATTCAGTGCTACCGCCAGAGCTAGAATCGAGAAAGCCGGTGGGGAGACCTTGACTCTCGATCAACTCGCGCTTAGAGCCCCAACTGGTGCCAACACGTTGCTGCTGCGGGGTCCCAAGAATGCCAGAGAATCCTTCAAACATTTCGGATTCGGCCCACACAGTGGAAAGGTTAGAGATTCTCCAATGGATACATATTTGCGTCATGTTTGGTTATTCGTGTGCTAACTCGCTCATTTTCATCTGTGTAGAAACCAAGAGTCGAAAGCAAAGGTCGGAAATTCGAACGGGCTCGTGGTCGGAGACGGTCTCGTGGCTTCAAGGTTTAAGGTGTTTTTCTATGGGTTCTTGTTTGGGTTCAGCAAAATATGTGAGGCGGTCTTGCGATATTGGCCACTATAGGTTTCTAGTCAGATTGAACAAGCCCATCATGAGTGATGTTTCACAACTTTTTTACCTCCCTGGAGCTCCTGAACCTTTTGTTTGTCCTTTTCTCAGCCTCGTATTTTATTACGTCCAATTTCAACCGGATTTTTTCTCTGTTCACCGAAAAGAAAGGAAAAGCGATGCAGCAGTAACAAAAGAGTGTCTTCCAGGTGAAGCGCAGGAAAGTCTCAATCTAGTCCAGCCAACAGGAAGCATGCGTAATCAACAGGGCGGATTATTTTCAAGGACTCGCAAGGTTACAAGGGAAACAACAAGTTCTCATTAATTTATATCCTTCCTGCTTTTTGTTTGCTTTTTGTTTTGGGAGGAATATCGATCATATGCTATTGTATCAGATATCTGAAAGAATTGTTGCCCCCAAGAACCTATATGCTTAACTTCTGATGTTTCCAGTTTTTTCCACCCTCACCTTCAAAGTAATCGCCAGCAGCCTGACCATTGCCGCGAACTAAATATTTGTAGATAGTCAAGCCCTCCAAGCCTACCGGACCCCTCGAATGAATCTTGTTCGTACTAATTCCAACCTCTGTCCCAAACCCATATCTCATACCGTCGGCAAACCGAGTACTCGCGTTCCAATAAACACCTGCGCTATCGACACCAGCCAAGAAACGTTCTGCAATAGGCCTCGAGGAGGTTAAAATTGCATCTGTGTGTTTCGACGAGTGTGTATTAATATGGTCGATGGCGGCGTCTACAGAGGTCCCCGTGGACGACGGTGAGATTGTTTTGATTGCGAGGGTAAGGTCTAAGAACTCAGTGCTGTAATCAGCCTCGGTTGCGTCCTGCAATAGTGCAGATTGTTCCCCCGTAAGCTTTTCGAGGAGAGCCTGTTTCGATAAAGCATCGCAACGAAGGATGATGCCTTTTGAGAGCAGGGCTTCCACAATGGGCGGTAGTAGAGTCGACACCGCATCTCGGTCCACCAAAAGTGTTTCCACGGCGTTGCATGCGGCGGGGTAGCCGGTTTTGGCATCGATTATAACTTTCGTTGCCATTGACAAGTCGGCGTCTGAGTGAAGATATATCGAGCAGATGCCATCAGCATGGCCGAGAACGGGAATTTTGGTGTTATCTTTCACGTAGCGAACGAGGTCATTGGATCCGCGAGGAATGACGAGGTCGATATATCTATCCTGTGCAAGAAGGGGGAGGATGGCATCTCTCGTTTTAACGAGTTGGATAGAAGCGTTCGGAACTTGCGACTGGGATATGGCTTCTGCAATGACATTGGAGATGGTTACGAAGGATTCAGTCGATTCCTTGCCCCCTTCAGGTTGGATTAGGTGTCAGAAGGATATCTCTCACGACAGGGTATAGAGTGGTTTAATGGAATAGCAGTCAGTACCTTTCAGAATAGCGGCATTTCCGGACTTAATTGATAAAGCAGCGATATTTACAATCACTTCTGGGCGTGCCTCAAATATTATAAGCAATACTCCGATGGGACATGTCACTCGTTCGAGAATGAGGTCATCGTCCAGAAGTGTTCGAAGAGTAACCTTCCCAACTGTCAATTCGTTAGCACCGTTTAGAGGGCAGCGCGCCAGTACAATGTGCGCATGAGATTGAGAAGAATAAGTGATTCAGAAAAGGAATATAGGGATTAACCGGTGTGCGACTTACTGGGGTCTTCCAGTTCTCGCACATCCAGAATGCCCTTCAACATGTCTTCGTATTTCCCGGGCTTTGCCAAATCCAATCTCTTAATGAGGCTCATGCTCAATTCGCCATTCTCTGCAGCTTTAGTAGCAGCTTCGATATCTCTCGCATTTGCTTTGAGGATCACATCTTTTTGCTTTGACAGCGCGGCGTACATCAAGTCCAAAGCCTCATTCCGAGCGGAGTTAGACAGCGTCGCAAGGTGTCGAGAGGATTCGGCGGCAATTCTTGCCGCCTGATGAGGCGAGGATTCTGTAAGTGACATTATTGTATATCAATGGCAGGCATATATATAAAAGCTATGCTATGGTGGTTGATGCAGTGAGGCAAAATGCCATTGAGCGCGGGGTAATTTATTTAGTTGCAATATTTATTTTGTCCGATCGAGAGATTGGTACACCGGCTAACTAACTACTGGAAGCTGATTCGCTAGTTAGTTATTTAACTACCAGCCATTATTAAGATTATTATTCTCACTCTCGAACTTCGGTCAGAATCTTCAACTACAGTAACTACATATCCTCTGACGCCAATATTTTGTTGAAGCATATAACCCTTGATTATTTCTTTTTTATGATTTTTCAGACCTATCCAAAAGAGCTGGACAGAATAATAATAAAAAAAAAAAAACAGAATGAGAGAAAGCTCGCTGCTATCTAAGTTCTTCCAGATTAGCAGGCCAGCAAGACAGTTTGGGGGCCTCTCTTTAACCAGGAACTTCGACGTCAGGGTGTAAGTCATGGTATAGTAAGTACATGTACAGTACAATGAGCTTGATGGAGTCTTTAGATCGACCTGCGCTAGAGGCACGAATAGGAAAGGAAACCAGTTTATTACTCTCTATCAAGCTTGTCAAGCAACACAAGCAAGAGTTTGTGCACGAGCTTATCGCATTATTTTTGCAGTGGTTGCAAATGTCATCTTTGAACAAGTAAGGCAATTTAACGTTATTTAGGGATACTGTACCCACTGTGCTGTTAGCCTCCCAATAGAAAAATCACCGGAAAACATCATCTTCTATGGGGCATGGGTGCCCCTCGATCAAAAATTGTGTGTTGTTTTGAGAACATACAAATGCCCGGGCAGAGTGGGTTGGTGAGCCCTGGACATTGATGGACAGAGGAGAACAGAATATATCTTAAATAATAGAAATGTCACGATGGCAGTATTCTGCCAACAACGGACCCTTGAGCTTTTAATGGCAATATCTATCAAAATGTGCCAGCAAAATAGCGACGTTTTGGTTAAGATTACATTACATATAGGGGTTGTCTTGCTGTTCTAAAAACAGCCAAAAAAGCACGAGTGCTCATTGAAACGAAAAAAAAAAATATTCTCAGGATCACACCAAAATTGCTCAATTTTTCCCAGACCGGCTCTGCCAGATCTTAGCTGGGAAAGAATCTGGATACTTCGAATAATCCTTAGTGGTTGACGTCGAGCCTCCATTTTCCGCCGGCGGTGTGCCTTCAATTTCTTCTTCAGTTTTGGCCCCGGTCAAATCAATCTCGTCTACAGGAATAAACCACGGCTCCTTCCGGCCAACAGTGAACCTGTGCCCAATATACAAGACGACAAACAATAAAGTACCCACATACGCCGTCATGAAGTCTGAGACATTCCACTGAGAGGGGAAGAATGTGTAGAAACCATTGAGGAGGCCAACAATGGTAAAGAACACGATGCAGAGCCATGCACCGGGTTTACCGCAAATTGAAACGTACGGCAAAGTTTTATGGTCGATACCCTGGAATTCTAGGGCCTTGCGGAACCGAAGATACGAAAGCGAGCACAGAATCCAGGAGAAGTAAGCGGCCATGTTGATCATATTAACGAACCAGTTGAACACCACGCCCGCACCAGAGCTGACGCTCAAGTACGCCAACAGCGCAATCACAGCGCAGCTCGTCACAGCGAAATAAGGGACGCCCCAGCGATTTGTCTTGGCGAATATTTGGGGGGCATTGCCTGCCACGGCCAGCGAGTATATGGAGCGAGAGGCCAGATACATGTAAATGTTGCCGGCAGACCACGCGGAACACAAGATGACGGCATTCACGATGTGGTCAAGCACCTTAATTCCCGCATGCTTAATTCCAACAACAAATGGAGAAGCTCCAGCTCCAGCACCCCCAGAAGTGAGCTCCTCAGCGTTGGATGGGCATGTTAAGGTAACCGCCAGGATAGGGAGTACGTAAAACACGACGAGTCGAACGACAAATGCCTTAGCGGCCACGGGTATCGTCTTTCGAGGGCTTCTAGTTTCGCCACCGGTGGTAGCTACCATCTCGACGGCAAAGGAAAGCTGAGAGCGTCAGGTTTGTTGATTGTCATATGCGCAACCACAAAGAAGGGGGACCTTACAGGGAGAATAACGCTGACAAGTGTGCCAAGGAAGCTCACAAACAGGCCCGCGTTTCCCTCGATAATCCAAGTGTTCGCTGGGCCTGGATCATGCCAGTATCTGAACCCGACGCGGTCGCCAGAGGGGCCTCCCCCGGATGCCAGAACAATTGACAGAATAATCAGGCCAAGAAGAAGGGAAAGTTTGAGAGAGGAGAAGGCAAATTCGGCTTCTCCAGAAGAAGCCACAGGCAGATAGTTCAATCCGACGATGATTACCATTAGGATGGTGATAAATATTGCAACGTTGACCGGCGGATCCCAGTACTGAATAATGAGTGTCGCCGTGGTTATCTCAAAGGGAACCAGAATTGCGTATGCATACCAGTAATTCCAGCCCAAAGCAAATCCAAACGATTTCGAGAGGAAAGCTGTTGAGTAGAAATCCGGAGCAGCTCCATGTAGAGGGATATACGCTGCGATTTCGAGCAACAGAGTGGAAAAGACCCAGACGACGGAACAGATAATGACGAACGCAGACAGGGTCATCGCCGGGCCTCCTCTGGCCAAGGTGCGTCCAGAGCCGACCAGATAAGCCGTGCCAATGCAACCTGCGCGACTCCTGTTAGATCATTGATTGATTGGCCTTAAGGGGTTCGAAATAAAACTATTTTGACGACTTACCTCCAAGGGAAATCAGATAGAGGTGTCTGGGCTTGAGCCAGGCCGAATCTCTTTTTTCCTGAGGAGCCTCGAGGCCATATTCAACGATCCACGTCCGGTCCGCCTCCTCAATCTCGCTCCTCATTTGTTTTTCTGTCATGGCCAATGGCTGTGATATTGAACTGATAAACTGAGGTTTGATTCATAGCATCATCTGAATGGAGTTCAGAGACTTGAGCACCTCTATATACCACTGAGGTTTGACAGCTTATGTTGTGAATTCGATGGAAATGGGCTGAGCCTGCTTTGCCTTCCATATCCCCGGAATTTTGGAACTATTCATCGAAAATCATTCTCTCGTACTCTGTACTCTAGTCAGGGATTCCCCAGGTTTGAGCTTCCTCAGTGGCTGCCGGGAGAGCATCAGACATATGAATCCCCGTGGGGCAGTGCTAGTGCAGGCCCAAGAGACGAGACATTGTGGAGAGGAACATTCAACGAAACTGTTTTCGCCAACGATTAGTGGCTGGCGTCTCTGGCGGTATTTGTTCGCAAGCTGGGCGAGCGATGATCCCCCCACCTTCGTATTCTTCCAATAAAACTATCGGTAGGTAGCCGAGGGGGTGCGAGGGAGGGAAACAGGGCTCAATGGGCAGCCGAACTCAAGATGCCAAGTCGTTGCGAGGCTTTGGGCGGGGAAATCCTCCTCAAACCCATGAACAACTTTAACAAGGTTGGCCCATCCACACCCAGCATCACCCTTTGTGAGACTCCATAAATAAGGTAATTAATTTAAGTAAAAAAGAATGTCCGGCGAAGGCAAGCCTCCCTCTGACATGACAGAGGCAATCCCTCCCTATTCTCCCGGCGCCTCTCCGGGGGCCAAAGACCGCCTGATACGCCGCCGGGTTACCGTTGACGGCCGTGTCCGTTCTGGATGCTTGACTTGCAAGACCCGCAAAAAGAAGTGCGATGGACAGATCTCCAGCGTTGACAACCGCTGCAGAGCCTGCATCCGCCTGGGGCTCGTCTGCGAACAATCGCCCCTGCGAAAGGTGGCACCACGACGTCGGACGCTGACAACAGAGGTAGCTACTACGCCAGAGAATATCAGCAACAAGCAGCAAGAGACCCAGAGCCAGGCCCGTTCTGACGGCAAGATGGGCGATTCTCAAGATCAAACTCCTCCCAATTATAGCGAAGACTCCCTGAACAGTATAGAACCACTGCTGCTCAAATACTTCCTCAGTGACGTCGCACCACTCTGCTCAATCCTGCAACAAGATGGTGCTAGCTTCTGTTCTGTACTGCTGCCGATGGCCATCGTCGACTCCTCTCTATTGCACGCTCTCTTCACCTATGCTTCCGTCCATTTCGATGCCACCGCGCCCGTTTCAACGGCCATCTCTCCCCGAACAAGGCTGGGGTTTGAGACTCATGTCGCGCGCGGCATCTCAAACGCAATCGCTCGGAATACCGTAACCGAAAGCACTGTGGCCTGCGCGCTGGTCGTTAGCACCGCTCATGTTATCGGCGGTGACACATCTCGCTGGCTCCTACACTTGCAAGGTGCGGGACACCTAATAAGCCACCTTGGTCCTCCACGGCTGCTCAAAATCCCCGATGGAGCGTTTCTTCTGCGATATTTCGCGTACCATGACATCATGGCCGCCTTGAGCACTGGACGACACCCTTCGATTGAGGGCGTATATTGGGCTCTCAATATTGATGGAGATGTCCATTCCGCGGATTCCTTCGTGGGCCTCGCGCATCATATATTTCGCCACATCACGAGTATCTGCGCGTTCGTTGCCGACACCTCTGATCTCGACGCTTCTTCGAGTTGCGATCGGTTGGCGAACGAAACTCTTCGGGCAGAAACCATCGCTCATGCACTTCGCTCACAGGATTTGCACCTCCAACTGAGGTATACAGATAACTATAGCGAAGCCCTTGTCCACCATGCAGAGGCATTCCGGTTTGCCGCTCTTTTCCATCTCTACCGCCGATTACTTCATATCTGCGGTCCAAGTGCCATCTACGAACAGCACATGGTGGAGTGTGTGCAACGTATATTCAGTCATGTGTCCCTAGTTCCGTTGAACCTATATTGCGAAATTGGATTACTCTTTCCCTTGTTTATGGCGGGAATAGGCGGTGCCAACGATGCAAGCGCCGTTCATTACATCCAAAACCGCCTCGACTACATCGAAACCTGGACCAAGTTCAAGCATGTAACAAGGACCCGGGAACTGTTGCAACTGCTTTGGGATCAAAAGCGGACAGATTGGGAGGTAGTGCTCCGGGAATTAGATTGGCATATATCTCTGGCCTAAATTCCGCCAATGGTGTGAACGTTTTCGAGACAACGATATTTCCTGTTTGGACAGTCGACTATGAATTTTATTTTTGCCTCGTGGTGGCGGGTTCGGCGCATCTGGCGCGCAATTTCCATGCCCAGAAAAAACCAAAACCCCACCTGTAGCTTAGCACTGTGCATCTGCAAGTAACATTGTGGAGAAAGCGGATGGCTCAGCGCAGGTAGTCATCAAGAATGTCGGCTTGAATTCAGTGCTCCAAGTGGTACCGCAATTCCTCCGTGAGAATGACAAAAAGACAGTTTCCTATCGTTGAAAGAGGGAGGGAAGTTGCCAACACGGATTTTACCTTTTCCCTTTATTTTTCTTACCCAGACAAATACATTCTCCTGGTCAACATGACTCCCCATCACCGTCCTCTATATTTCAACGCTGGTGCACAATCCTGCTCCAGCAAAGGGTTCAACTCCGCCAAATCAGTGAATGCTTTCCATACGCAGCTCGAAGATTATCACCCATTTCCCCTCATGCTGTTGCCTGGTGCGGCAGAGGATATTGGGGTCAAGGCCATCTACGCGAAGAATGAAACCAACCGACTGGGACTCCCGGCAGTCAACACTCTCAGCGTGTCATGGGCAATTTTTCGAGCTGTAGTAAATCGTTTAGGGTTGCTGGAGGATGCTACTATCAAGGCAGTCAGGGCTTGTCTGTCTGAAGAACCCGTTCCTCTCTTCACTCCCTCGGAGGGCAACCACGGGCAGGCTGTGGCTCATATAGGCTTGCTCCTGGCAACACCGGTTCAGATCCACGTCCCGGTGCACACAAGTCCTGAGACCATCGCACTCTTGCACATCAGAAAAGCAACAGTTGTCCAATCTAGCGGCTCTAGCTGCGACGCGCTCTCAGAGGCGCAAATTGCCTCCCAATGAAACAATAGCATTTTGATTCAAGAGGATGCTAGTTTAGGCTATCATGAGATTCCACAGGTATAAAGATATTCCTATGCTCCTCAAACTTCCTGATTCCATTCAAGAACAACACTGATAAGCAATCATATTTGTACAGTTAATTACTGAGGGTTACTCAACAATTATGCATGAGATTGACTACCAGCTCGCAGGTGAGCAGCTGAGCCTTGTAGTCTCTCCTGCTGGGGCTGGATCGCTCGCCCAAGCAGTTGTGGCCCACTACAAATCATCAGAAAGGAAATCTACAGTCTTCATGGCAGTTGAGCCAGACACCGCTGGCCTTTTGTGGAATAGCTTGACTAATGGGAAACCCGCGATCGGGAAAACTAGTTCAACCATCATGACTGAGCTAAAGTGTGGGAGACTTTCTGAGACCGTGTGGCCACTTCTAAAATGTGGAACTGACGCAAGTATAACAATCTCTGACTACGAGGCCCATCGGGCGAGCCTTGAGCTACAAATGCTAGGCATTGCAGGACCCAGTGGTGCAGCCAGTCTAGTGGCTCTTCGTGCGCTCAGTGAATCAGACAAGTCTCAGTTGGGGCTTAATCAGGATTCTATAGTAGTTTTAATATGCACAGAGAGGGGTCCCATGAACTTCAAAACTCTGAAAGATGTTGCTTCTGACAATGTAATTGACTTGACCTAGACATTAGTGCAAATTGGCTCTTCAAATCCTGATTTCAGCTCCATTCCAGGCCCGGGTGAAACCTCGATTGCACAATATATCACTGTGTGGCTTCAGCATCGCAACATCGAATACCATTGGATTGAGCCAACTCCAGGGCGACCTTCCGTTGTTGGTATTGCACGCGGCTCTGGTGGAGGCAAGAGCCTCATGTTCAATGGGCATATTGACACTGTCACGCTCCTAGGGTACAATGGCGACCCTCTTAACCCTTTAATATCCGATGGGAATCTTTATGGCCGGGGTTCTGCGGATATGAAGAGTGGTCTTGCTGTTGGCATGGTAGCCATCGCCAATGTGAAGGGAATGAATTTGAGGGGAGACATGATCCTCGCGGCGGTTGCGGATGAGGAGTCAGAAAGTCTTGGAATGGAGCAATTACTGCAAGCAGGATGGCGTGCGGATGCTGCCATTATTGCTGAACCGACCGAGATGGCTCTCATCAACAAGCACAAGGGATTTGCGTTATTTCAAGTTGATATTCACGGCGCAGCCGCTCATGGATCTCGTGCGGATCTCGGTGTCGACGCCATCTGCAAAGCTGGATATTTTCTCGTCGAGCTTGGATAAGCTAGCAGCAACCATCCCTGGCTTTAAGTTTGACCTACGATCGACTTTCTCATGGGCCCCCTACTTCATCCAGCGGGAAGACGAACTTGTTCAGCTTGTGGCCAAGCACGCAGCTCGGACGACAGGGGAGACTCCTCAAATAAAAGGTGAAACTTATTGGACAGACATGGCATTACTGGGAGAGGCAGGTATTTCAGGATTGATCTGGGGCCCGAAGGGGCATGGGCTGCATGCCAAAACTGAGTGGGTTGAGGTCGAGTCAGTACGACAACTTGCGGAGTCGTTTGTGGCAGTTGTAGGAGGCTTTTGTAAATAGATAGAATATGATATTCAGCAGAATGTTACTGTATTATTTCTAATGTCGCCGCTCCTTTTCTACGAGGCATACACCACAGAAAAAGATTGCTTAAACATTGATTTCCTAGGGTTTTCGGGATGTTTCATCGGCGTGAGTGTTGATCATCATTATCAGGTCTCAATCTGATGATATTCTCCATTGGAAAACAATAGTAAAAGGCGTTGGATTTGGCTTATTTCCTAGTATATTTTAAGCGGCAGGCTGGTAGGTACTAAAGTCATATTCAACATCGTAATCCTCCGCATCAATATCACCATCGGAAAGCTCGACATCCTGCAGATTTTCGCCATCATCTTCTTCCTCCTCAGTGAACCCATAGTCCTTCTTTTGGATTTTCTTCCAGGCGGCGATTGTTTGCTTTCGTGTGAGGTAGAATGGGAGCTTGGAGAGTGGAACGCAGCCAGTATCTGTCACCTCAACTGTCTGTCCAATAGAACTGGCGGTATCGGTGGCCATATCCACAGAATAATGTGAATAAAGAATACCATTCCTTTCTGTGCAATGACTGTTTGACCTGGCACAAACATAGGGTAGTCCATCCATGTGGGGGCAAAGGTTGCACCCATGCTATACCCGCATGCATCAAACCTCTGCTCACGGAAACCATTCTCATCAGCCACCCGAGCGTAAGCCTCAGCAACCTTTCCAATTGGTCTCCCGGGCTTTAGAGCTTCCATGGCAGCTTTCATCTGCAATACGTTGACCTCATGCATACGCCTGGCTAGTTTTGTAATACCGCCAATTGGGATGGTTCGCATTAAACAGGCATGGTAGTGTTTGTATACACCAGCATGTTCCAATGTGACCTGTCGTTCGATTCTTGATTTGCCGGTGGAATATCGAGTCAGGACTCCTTTGTTTCCAGAAATAAGGATATTCTCGTTTGCTGGATCGTCACCACCACCTTCATAAACAGTGCCTACAATTTCCCTCCACAGGCCCCCTTCATAGGCTCCAGGCTTTGCTAGCTTTAGAGCGCGGACAAAAGCAAAGTCAGCCAGATAAGCGGCTTTGCGAATTTTGTTCATCTCAGTTGGAGATTTGATAATGCGCAGCTCCTGGCCGAACAAGTTGCTGTGGTCAACCAGGGTGCACAGACCCTCTACAGCTTCCAGAAGCAGCTTTCCGATTCGAAGGTTCAGAGTGCAGGAGTCAGGTTCGTAGCCGATTCTTTTCGCTGGCGAGTTGATGCCAAACTCTTTCAGCACCTCAGGGACCAAAGAAACTGGGTTGCTGCTGGCGGCGTCGCTTCGGATAAGAATATCTTCCCGCTTCAAGACTGAAGTATAGAGTGCCTGGCGGAGGTCAGGGAGACGTGTGATTAAGCGCATTCTACCATCGTTATGGAAGTACATCGCCTGGAAAAAGACGTAACCAAAGGTGTCGAATCCAGTGAAGTAGTAAAGAGACTCTTGCTTGGTCATGATGAAGCCATCAAGCTTCTCTCGCTTCATAATTTCCAACGCGCGGTTCCGCCGTCCCTGTAACTCCTCCTCAGAGAAGTGGAGGGCCTTCTTGAAGGCTGGGAGTTGTTTGAGGTTGGCCATTTTCGAGCTAAATTGTGATTCTTGAGTTGAGGAATAAGGACGATTGTTTACAAGCAGAAAAAAGGCATTGTTCGTTTGGCGTCCCCGAAAAATGGAAGGAAAGGAAGCATTTGAACGGTTTTATAGAAAAAGGAATCCTTGGGGAGCCAGGGGATCGAGCGAACTGGGACCAAACCGATGCTGCTGTGGCCCTATTGCGAATGTGAGTGCATCCACCAGCTCACGGGGCCAACCTGGTGAGAAAGCCGCCAGATACGACGAAGACAAGCGTTTGGTCAGAGACTCAGGGGCTGAGCGATTCCCAGTTTCCACAATATTGCCCCGCGCACCATGGCCGTCTGGCCCTGCGGGTTAAGTTGAACATCGGCATATTGTGGATTAGCTACTGTCGTTAGAATATGCTTTAAGCGGTCTCAAATGGGCATATAGTGGAAGAAATACAGGAGGAATGCGGAAGGGCGAGTACGGCGGGCAATTAGAGCATGCTCTCTTAGATACGATTGTGTAGCTCTGCGGGGTGGGTGGGATTAGTGCGTCCTGATTATTGTGGGGGAATTCCTCCAAAAGTTATGACGATGGGCTGGAGATGCAGTGGAGACGTTGCAACGGAATGCCCGGTTGTGTTCTCTTGTATTCTCGGCGGAACTGGCGGGTACCTTGGTGTGCCATATTATTGTATGATTTGATTGCCGTCTGTCCAGGCAGCTGAAAGGTTTCGTTGAATGGTTGGAGCTTCCTTGGGCCCAATGCCAATCCAACTCCAGCAACACGGCCTTCCAACTAGCTCCCTGATCACATCACCAGGGGTTAAAAAAAGAAAAGGAAGAAAAAGAAAAAGAAAAAGAAAAAGAAAAAGAAAAATCGTTGTAACTACTCCTCACACCCTGACAAAGCCTCGACAGCCCTCTAAATCCCCAGCTCCAAAACACCATGCACGCTTTCTAGCTCGAGGGGATGCCACTACACACTACGATGACACGCAAGGCTTTCAAATTTGTTTCATTTAAAAAATAAAAAATAAAAATAAAAAAATATGGCAACGCAGTGTAGTAGTACCTCCTAGTATATAAACACAATACAGCTAGAGCCTGGAACCAGTTTCTATTAATAGTAACTGTCGCGCGAAACCCAGACGCGCAGAATTCAACCAAAATTTACTCCTGCAGGTAAATCACGGCGTCGTCCTAGAACATCCCGTCTCTCACAGCTTTGAGACAACGGTAAGAGTTCCTGTCTTCTGGATCAAATACTCATCAATGGCAACGTCTTTGCCGGCTTCTTTGCCGTAGCCAGATTCCTTGATCCCTCCAAACGGGGATTCTGCAGCGGAGGCATTACCTAAATAAAATGTCAGATGCGGACTCTCGAGAGGAAGAGCAAAAAGAGGAGATGCCGAACCTGTATTCATGCCAATCATACCAGCTTCAAGGCTCTCGAGCAGTCGCCAGGAACGGTTGACGTCGCTGGTGAAAAAATAGGATGCGAGTCCCATGGATGTATTATTTGCTGCTTGAACAACCTCCTCCTCAGTTTCAAACCTGTAGAGTCCTAGGAGAGGACCGAAAATTTCCTCATGAGTCGTCAGCATGGAGGAGGTCATCTCTGAGATAATTGTAGGCTCGAAGAAATAGCCCCCAAGGTTACTGGGGCGTTTCCCACCACATAACACTCTACCCCTTTTGGAGACAGCATCAGCGACGTGTCTCTCCAACTTCTCGATACCTCGGGGGGTTGTGATTGCGCCCATTGTGGTAAAGGAGTTAGCACCATGGCCAACGCGAAGCTTCTGCGTCGCCTTGAGCGTCTTCTGCGCAAACTTGTCATACACCCCCACTCTGGACATAGACTCTGTTTGCATGCGTGCAAGCCTGTCCAGCGGTGCGCCACTTAAGTATCATGAGTGCAGCAACTGCTTGGTCGAGGTCCGCGTCATTGAAGACAATGAATGGACAATTGCCGCCAAGTTCAAGTGTTACCTTTTTCAATCCATCAGAACAGTGGTGGGCCACAATTCTTCCCACAGCAGTGCTTCCAGTGAAAGTTACTTTGCGTACGAGAGGGTGCTTGCAAAGAGCCTCACTGACCGAATGCGTATTAGTGTTGTCGGTCGTGATGACATTCAGAACCCCGGAGGGAAAGCCAGCACGTAGAGCTAGGTCTGCCAGGGCCAGGACACTGAGGGGAGTCTCCGGAGATGGCTTGACGATCATAGAGCAGCCAGCTGCCAGAGCAGCCGCAACTTTACGAATGATCATGGCGACGGGGAAGTTCCACGGTACCAACGCAACGCTGACTCCAATGGGCTGCTTGACTACGAAGGTTCGGCGCTCAGAGACGGATGGAATGGCGATGGAGCCTCGAATCCGTTCTGCTTCACCAGCAAACCACCAGGCAAAGCCAAGTGCATAATCGACCTCTCCGCGTGCCTCCGTAATTGGTTTGCCGGTTTCGTACACAACTAGCCGTGCAATGTCCTCGCGACTATTTGTTATCAGATCGTACCACTTTAGAAGCATTTTCGCTCGTTGGCGTGGGTTTACATGGCGATATTTGAGGAACGCGGTGTGTGACGTCGTGACGTATTCGTGCACGTCTTCAACCTTGTTGGCTGGGCATGTAGCGAAGATTTGTCTGCTCCCAGGATCTGATTAACACTCAGCAAAATATATACTTTCATCGCTAGTACATCGAGCAAAAATGGCTTGCAGGGTGCATTGTTCACCTTCGACTTCAAAAGTCTCCCGTGCTCCTGATTGGACCCATTTGCCGTTAAGCAATGAGCTTTCATGGAAAAGGGCCCGATCGTCTAACTACAAAATTTGTTAATATTCATCCGTGTCGCAAGAAGAACCTCAATGTGTCTTGACTCACTTGGAAGAGCAATTGGTGAGGCATGATAATGTCTTAACAAGGCTTTATCTCTTGCAGAATATAGATAGGGATGTGTCCAAGCTGTTGCAAGGTTTTGCTCCGAGGTGCTAAATAACTATCAACAAGCCTTCATGGGAGATGTTCAACGCGATGTTCAGAGAACTTCGGCTTCTTTTTATGTCGTCCACTCATTATCATTGTTCTCTCGCTCCGGTTCTTCCCAGGCTTTGACCGTCCCCAGGAACATGGTTTTGAGAAGTCTGGGATTGCTCTGGGCAGTTCGTTGGGACGCGGAGCCCAGAAGCTGTCCGGGTCGATGATTGCCCGCCCGTTACGCTGCAAAAAGTGGGGTGTCCTTCGCTCCTCTTGGCCTTTTCCTTTAAAGGTGCGATTTACATCTCCCCATTGCCAGTGGCGGAGAGCAGGATGGTCGAGACTTGTTGTCAATGTTGAGTCATGCCTTTAAAGGAGATCCGGGATGCATGGCGGCGCCCTTCGAAAATTTTCCCTTGAGCAAGTGATGGGACCGAAGATACACAACTCGAGGATATGATCACAAACTTGATCATGGCACCTCTTCCAACTTAAGCCTTTGGAGGTAAGTCTATCCCGAGTCATGCTGCTCGTGGCGCCGAATTTCGATTTTGATTTTGAATTTCTGTTGGCAATCGCCTAGTTTCGGGAGGATTTCTATTTAAATATGCCGAGTTGTAGAAACTAACCTGGCTTCTTTCTCAGCAGTTAGAAAATGGGAAAATATATAAAAGCTTCAGTCTCTTGGTTTCAGGCTCTCCTCTGATCTTCGCATCGAGTATCTTCTATATTTCATTCAGAGATTCGATCTCGTTCTAGATACTGGTATTTCTCAGCAACAATGACTGCCAAAACTCCCCATCCGTTTGACCCTCTTACCCCCGAAGAAATTTCCAGAGTGCGTTAACCCGATGTTCCCTTTTACACTGTCTGTCTACCCCATTACTAAGAAAGAATCCATCGCAGGCTGGACGAATCGTTCTTCCGCACTTTGGCGGGCAGGATCCCAATTTTCGGGTCATCACGTTGCAGGAGCCGCCCAAAACACAGATGATACAGTATCTCGAGAAAGAGCATCGCAAGCAGACCATAGGAGAGGTTCCCACTCGTTCTGCACGTGTTGAGGTTGTGGTGAAAGGCCACAATGACACCAACGAGCTCTTCGAACTCTTTGTTGATCTCGACAATGACATAGTATCCCACAAGCAGCATCGCAAGGGAAAACATTCCTACATCGATGCGGACTATATGAAATCAGTTGAGGCTGCTTGTCTAGCCAATGACGAAGTGCAGGTCGAGATACGCTCCCTTGATCTTCCTCCAGGATCAACTGTTGTGGTGGAACCTTGGGCTTATGCCACAGACGGCATGAATGACATGACCCAGCGAGTCTCCATGGTATGTTTATTGTTCATGTACCTGCACTGAGTTACACCCTGCTCTCTCTTTTCCTGCTAAAAAATCATTCAGTGTTGGTTCTATCTCCGGTTTGAAGATAATCCAAATGCCAATTACTACTCATACCCTCTCGACATATGTGCAGAGGTCTCGGAGTCCCTCCAGGTCACCAAGGTATATCGCTTGCCGACAAAACCACACGGAAGAATCAATAATGAGCAGAAGCCCTTCGATCGCCGGAAAATTCGACCGACAGCAGCTACAGAGTACCACCCTGACTTGAGACCAAGCCCAAGGTCGACTACCAAACCTTACCAGGTTGTTCAGCCAGAGGGCCCATCATTCCGTATCGGTGGAAATCACGTAGAGTGGGAGAAATGGAGCTTTAGAGTAGGCTTCAACTACCGGGAAGGATTGACATTGCACGACATTCGCTACGATGGCCGGAGCTTGTTTTACAGGCTTTCGCTTGCGGAGATGTTTGTACCTTACGGTGATCCACGGGCTCCCTACCCTCGCAAGGCGGCATTTGACCTCGGAAATGATGGTGCAGGAATCAATGCCAATAATCTACAGCTTGGCTGTGACTGCCTAGGTAAGTACAAGCTAACTTCCTACTGTGCTTATCATTTTACCTTGGACTCTTATGCTAACCCGAGTGCACGTTTCAAAGGGACCATCAAGTATTTTGACGGCTACCATAACACGCCCTCTGGGAAGCCTTTGAAAATGCCAAACGTAGTGTGTTGCCATGAACAAGATGACGGCATCCTGTGGAAACATACCAATTTCCGCACTCAAGTTCCTGTGGTGGCTCGCTCTCGTATTCTCGTTTTACAGACTATCATTACAGTGAGCAACTACGAGTACATCCTTGCCTTCCATTTTTACCAAGATGCGTCGATTTTTTACGAAGTCCGTGCCACTGGTATCCTATCCACCGTTCCCGCCGACCTAGACACGAAGGCCAAATTTCCTTACGGCACCACTGTGGCACCAGGGGTTCTAGCGCCATATCACCAGCATCTCTTCAGCCTGCGCATAGACCCAGCGATCGATGGCTATTCCAATTCCCTGGTCGTTGAAGAGTCAAAGGCCCTTCCTGTGGGAGATCCTTCAGTCCACAACCCATTCGGTGTAGGCTATACCACCAACAGTCAAGCTGTCGAGGAAGAAGGGGGTTTTGACCTTGATTTCACTAAGAACCGGACCTTCAAGTTCCTCAACGAGAGCAAGATCAACCCTGTAACGGGTACGCCGGTTGGATTCAAGCTTCTCCCTGCTTACAGTCAAATGCTCCTCGCCAATTCCGAGTCATACCATGCGAAGCGCTCAGAGTTCACTAAGCATGCCATTTGGGTAACTCGCTACGAAGACGGGGACCACTTCCCCGCGGGCCGATATACCATGCAATCTACTGGCGGTGACGGTATCGCTTCTGTAATTGCCAAGCGAAAAGAGTCAAAAGCGGCCCAGTCAGTCAGAGATCAGGATATAGTCATCTGGCACACATTCGGAGCTACCCACAACCCTCGCATTGAGGATTGGCCGGTTATGCCGAGCGAGAAGCTCGTGGTTGGGCTCAAACCCGTCAACTTCTTTTCTTGCAATCCAGGCTTGGATGTAGCTCCCTCAACTCAAGAGAAGAACAAGAGTGTTTTGTACACTGGGGATGAATCCGAGCCAGCATCATGTTGTCACTCAAAGCTATAGTTCTTTTCTTGAAATCACTTCCTCGTTAAGAATAGACAAAAACACAATTGCTCATAATGCAAGAATAGACTAAATGGCATTATTGTTATTAACGTATTAGCCAGGAAGCAATAGTTTAATATATTATAAATCCATTGAAGTGCAACCCGCGTAGTAAATAATGTCGTCAATAGATTAAGAGGTCAGATTTGACGAGCAGCCGTTAAATACACGTGCTCTGGCTGCGAGTTTGGCGGACCGAGAAAAGCTCGATGTCCATGGCAACATAATCATACCACATAACACCGCCAAAAAACAACATCGAGGTGTAGGAGGCACGCAACGCAACCCAACCCAGGAACAATATTGTATTGGTTTTTAACTGCGAGTCATTACCCTAGATTTGGTTTTCCATCAAAGGTAAGCAAGCTTGCGTTGGGTCTCAGATATCTCAGCAGCCAGACTTCGTGGCTTAAATATATAGCCCAAGGAGCAACCTTTTAGCCCTCCCCACCCAATGCCAACGGACATCAATAATATAGGTGCGATCGCAGCTAACAGGAAACATAGCTCTGCCTCTCACAATCACAACAGTCAGCGATTCCTGACAATCTGACATTGAGGCCGTTGACTAAAGTCATTGGCAAGAAATCCATCCCCGCATTTTTGGAATTTCGCCGTTACCGAGGGCGTCTTTAAATAGGATTTCTCATGGACTCGACTATCTAATCCTTTACGCTTGAAATTTATATACAGGAGCACGAGCATGTCGGTATCCTGAAGCACTCTCTTCCAAAAGCTCTCTCTATCTTCGGTATCACCCTTCGCTATGGCGGAAATACTGTCGCGTTTGCTCTCCTTCCCACCAGTGTCTCCACGTACTGTATCTCAAATATCCGACGTTGAGTACGACAAAGAGATACGCACTTTATATTCAGACCTGAAGCGAATACCTGCGCATAAATTAGTTGCAGACATTCCTGGGAGAGGAAGTTTGTTGGAGGTTCGGTCTCACCCTTCCCTGGCTGCACGGTTGAATAACATAATAACATAATCTGACGATCTGGCTGATGAATTGCTGTTGACAGCTTCTGGATCCGGGACTCCAAACTCTGGCCTACCTCTTCGTCATACTATCATATTACCAAGTTTCGCACGAGAATACGAAAGAATCATTCCCAGCCACTTGGCTGCCAGGAGGTGAAATCTGGTTAAAGTCAGTAGCATTCTTAAAGGTGTTTGACCCGATCCAAGTGAGATATGCCGGTCAAGAATGGAGAAGTCTTGTTGATGTGGTAGTAAAATCGGCTGAGATCGCTTCACGAGTGAGACCCCCCACTCCTACTTTTTCATAGAGCTTAAACTTGTTAATATCTTGAAGCCGTTGCTAGCTCTTCATCCTTTAAAAACCGCTATACTCCGCCTCGACCCTTCGTCTTCAACATTCACTTCGTCGCATACAACATTCGTACGGTTGTGTCTTCAGTCAAGGTCTTATCTAAATGCATTGGATATCCTCGACAAGCCTATTTGCCATTTCCCAACCACATCCGATAAGCAGTTCATTAAAAGGTCACAACTTCTTCTGTGTCAGCAACATGAATCGAGCACGTCCTTTATCACAGCTGCATCCGGGTTGCCCGGCAAAATAAACCACAGGTCCTATCTGGAGTACTTTCTGTACGGCGCCATGGTCTACATGGGGCTCAAGAAATGGGACGATGCCATTCATTTTCTCGAAATCGTGATTTCTGCGCCCACAACAAACTCAGTGAGCATTATCATGGTAGAAGCTTACAAAAAATGGGTCTTAGTGTGTCTTATAGAAAAGGGAAAGGTAAATAATTGAAAAATAATTTTTGATATTCGATCTGCTAATTATTTGACCTAACCATAGCCTCTACCTATGCCAAAAACAGTGACACCTTTTACAGCAAAGGCATATAGGTCACTAGCGAAACCTTACGAAGCTCTCGCTGACATCTTTAAATCTGGAAACGTGTCAAGATTGCTGGCAGAGATTGCCGCTGGGGAGGCTGTTTGGCTCAATGTAAGTGATAATTCGCATACCCACACCGGAATATATGAAGCACGATAGATTTTTAACTGTCTCATCAATTCTTTTTCGTTCCCCTTACCAGGATAACAACATGGGTTTGGTCTCACAAGTATTGGTTGCATATCAGCGATTTTCTATCGTGAAACTCGAGAAAACTTTCGCCGCATTATCAATACCCGATATAGCTTCATATTTAGGACCTGACGCCCAAATGACTGATATCTCTATAGCTGACTTGATTACTGCGGGACAGCTGCGGGCATCGTTAATACACGCTTCGGACTCTTCGACGCCCACCGTGCTTCGTTTTACTTCATCAACTGCTAACTTGGGTCATCTGTTAGAAGTGAAATTTAGCGCTGATTTAGTAACACAAAGAAGCCGATTAGAAACGCTTCTGAAGAACGTGCGTGGAACCGATATCAAATTGGAATTGGGCCGTGAGTATATAGAAAGCTTGCGGAAAGCACCGAGACCTTCAGACGTCGAAAGTAGGGATAGGTCCACGGCCGGGGTTTCCAATGGCGAGATGGACGAAGATGTGATGGGGGACTTTGAATAGAAACGAACCAATGACATTCGCAACGTTTGGCTGGTGACAACGATAGATTTTGTACTTAACGATATCGACGAATGATCTAATTATGATACTGCTCGGGTGCTGAATTAGACACGTATGACGACCAGCGCTGGTCTGCATGTGCGTCCTCCTAGACGACAATATTATCGCTTTCGTAAATGCTCGACGGTTCTCTACGGCGCTTCAGTAATCACTATACTGGAGGATAAATGTGGTATGATATATATATGTATGATTGCATCACGTTATTGGGGCGATAGAACAATCCAGACCCAAAAGCAAAGAAGAAAAATCTCCGAACCCGTTAAGCAGGATAGTAATTTGTCCACGGATGACTTTATAACAAAAGCGGATATCGGGTTAAATGATAGTTTATGTAATACAATAATGGAAAAGCAGGAACTTTCAAAAGGTACAATTTTTGACCACTTTGGAAGGGTAACAAGCTCAAAACGTGATCCTGGGATCAGAATATCAAGCAAGAAAAGCATATAAAATGCGAACAGAGAAAAAAAAAAAAAATAAAAAAAAATAAAAGAAACGAAAAAGACGTCAGGCTGATGGAATTCAAAAAAGATAACCGGACCGTCCATCTGCCTGTGAATTTTTAAAGAAAAAGGCAAACAAAATGACACTTCATCTTCAAGTTATTTAGCTGCTAGCCGCGTTTCATGCTGTTGTCGATTCAGCCGACTCCTTTTGAGCTTCAACGTTGGGGATAGACGCGGCGGTTCCAGATAGGTCGGTAGAACGAGCTTTCGGATTCTTCGTATAATAGTTTGAGATGGCGGATTTAATTGCATCTTCAGCAAGCATGGAGCAATGAACTGCATTGGAAACAGAATATTAGCTCACTGGATCAGGTCCAACGTGGATAAAACATTCGTAACTTACGCTTTACGGGTGGCAAACATAGCTCCTTTGCAATCTCAGTATTCCGGATCTTTCCAGCTTCCTCCAACGTCATCCCCCTCACCAACTCGGTCAGGTAACTGGAGCTGGCGATGGCGCTGCCGCATCCAAATGTCTTAAATTTAACATCACTGATGGTATTGCTGCCCTTGTCGACACGAATCTGCAACTTCATGACATCTCCACAAGCTGGTGCACCAACAAGCCCCGTACCGACATCCACATCTGCCTTTGGCATCGAGCCTACATTCCGGGGATTGCTATAATGATCTAGCAGTGCACAAAAAGGTCAGCATGATGATCATGAAATTAGGCTCCAAATATAAAAGAGCCAACTATAAAGTACAACAAAGAATGAAAGATGATCAAACATATCTTTTTCATGATAGCCTCGGGCGGATGGGACGGCAATTCGGGCGAGATTATGACTATTTAGGCTGGAAACTGACGGACGGCCGGCGGCCTGTGGCAGGGTTGACAGAGCGGACGTCCGCGGGACAAGAGTGAGCAATCGTCTGAACATCGTGATTGAAATATGTAGATAGAAAATCCGACAAGTACGTGGCCTCGATGTCGCGGGTTTTATGAAGTCGGGTATTGAAGCTCGTAGAATCTGCAAGTATTTCAGTTCGTGTCGAAGGCGGGACAAGGGAAGATGCAGAATGATGGATTCGGCTGATTGATAAGACAAGCGGAGACTCGGCCATGGGATAACCATTACATAAGTGCTTATTAATCATGTTATAGGGGCGAATGCGGAGCAATTTCACTTCAGCTTCCAAGTTGGAACAAGCAGGGCAAGCGGATTTCTTGGAATCTTGGAAGCCAAACGCCAACATCATGATAAGAAATGACATTTTACATGAGAAGTCCAACGCCACTGAAAACGAGTTATCTCCTCGTTTTAAAAACAGCAAACACAGATAAAAGCCAGCGCGGCCGTAACAGTGATGGGAATATGACATAGTAAGAAATTTGAAGCAGGTCAAATACTTCTACGCTGTATGTAATCCGACCAAGGAGAACTCGTGATACCGGTATATAATTACACCACAACCCATTCACTTCCTCGTTTAATAAACTTATCAATCATCAAACCTATATCATTGAGAGCGAATCGACAAACGTAAAATCCAAAAAACTCAGAGGCATGTCGAGCGCTAAGCTCAAGCCCAACAAGCGTCTGAGATGAATGCTTCAAACCAGGGTCTTCGACTTGCCGAGCAATTTGATCTGAATTTACCTGTTAACGTTCATAGACTCTCGCTGAGGCCAGAGACAGGAAGATGGGATGAACATGTCAAGGTTATCAGGCAAAGAGATTGCTTACCAAGGATCTGAGCAGCATCGAATAGCCTGGCCAGAGCACTCATGTAGCTCGCATGAGGACCCGTACACTGTAACTGAGTTACATCTCTCTTTGGTGCACGAAAGTCAAGGCTATCCGTCATCGGTAACGAATTCATGGTAAGTGCATCTCTCCCTCCATCCTTCGGTGCAGGAGCTGGTTGGGTAGGGGCGCCCGTTCCAGAGCTCTTCGATTTTAATTTTCGCCAGGACGCTAGGTACGACTTGCTTGAACCACTTGAAGGCTTTGCTGCGACATTGTCATAAATGGTGGAGGTATCTTCTCCGGATGATTTAAAAAGAGGCATTGATCCTTGGACACCAACGTCATTGCCTAGCTTTTTTGACCATATATTCTGGACTTGATCGAGGACATTTTCCAATGACTGCATTTCTTCGAGTACCGCTTCAGCATCATAGCTATCCGCCTGGGCGAGTTTCAGCAGGGCGGCCGTTAAAAGATCGCAACTTGATATTTTCTCCTCCACAGCTTTTAATTTCACATTCTGAACGCGCCACACATCCCTTGGAACAAAGAGCTTAGCTGTAAGATACCCACCACGGGGGTGGGCAATGGTCTGATACAAACACCTCATTAGCCAGAATGGCCGAAGGAGAAACGACTGCGGGCAGGGTTCCAGAGGCAGAGGAGCATTCGACACGGATGCGTTGGGGGAACCCAGGTTTGTAAGTGAGTGAATATGGCTATCGAAAATATAGGGTCCTCCGGCATGAAAACCGTGGGCAGTAAATGCAGTAGTGGTAGGGGTGAGTGAAGACGGGAGTGAAGGACTGCTCCCTTTCCTCGCCTCTAGGTTTGCGAAACTGGCACTGGACGGCGTGCCTGGTGTCTGTGAAACGATATCTGGTGTTGACACAGACATACCTCTAGCTTTCATTGCCCTGAGACTCGAGGAAGATATGTTCTTTCTAAGATTTTCAGGGGCTGATGAAACTTTTGCGACTATATGTGACGGGGATGGTAGAGAACCGGAGTCATCTATCTCTTGGGGCTGCAATTTAATTGTGAGTGAGTCGGTATGAACAGATTCAATGGGCTCTGAGGCTGTGGCAATGGCATGTATAGGATTATTTGGTGTACTCGTTTTGACCTTAGAAGGTGCATCGTGAGAACTTGGTGTTTGTACACTAGCCTGAGCCTCGGTTTTCGGGACTGATGAGGATATGTGAGGAGAGGCCGTGGAAACAGGGTCCGCCTGTGACCCGTTCGTTTCAATGGATAGCTCCTTCGGGTTCAGGCCGTCCACTCGTCTACCATTCAAACTTGTTGGCTTAGTTGATATCACCTGGGCCGAACTTGAAACTGAAGGTACGGATGGCATGGATGGCGGTAAGGGAGGTAACGATGGCATTGACGATGATACTGGTGGAGGTGGTAACGCAGAAATAGGGGGCGGATGGGGAGGCGATGAGGCCGTCTTTACCCTCGCATCCAATGACTGAAATTCAACACCTTCGGCAAGGGTGGAAAGTGAATTGCCAGAGGTAGTTACGTTTGATCCAACAGAGCTTCCCCAAGTCCTACCAGAAAATCCACTTGAGTCGGACTGCCGCGGAAGAGCAGACTTTGATTGCAAGTCAAACTCAAAGTCGGCCATCATCTCCTCCAAAATGCGCTCTTCCTCCTCATCTTCTACGTCTTCATCATATCCTCCAGTAACTGCCCCAAAATTCAATAGCACATCATCGCCATTCAACATGCGTTTGTCTTTGTTTCTGGCTAACGCGGCTTCAGATTCTATCTGAGCCTCCCGGACCTTCTGTTTCGCTAACTCAACACTCCTCCTTGCATCAGATACGATATCATCAGGGATAATGCTATCTGTCCCGCGTACTGGCTCAAATCCTTCATCATAGGCTGCTTCCACCGCGGCATCCAAAGCAGTGTCAAATTCAGCTTCAGTACCCTCGCTAGCATTGCGACCGTGTTTCGGACGGAGGTAGAGCAAGGATGATCTCGATCGGATTGAGGAACTTGATGACGCCCCAGACTCATCAATAGTGTCGAGCCAGGAGGTTGATTCGTTGCTTGCGTCATGGGAATGCTGATTCGGCAGAGGCGGAAGAGGGTTTGAGGTTTGCAACTGACTCGACGCTTGCTTGGTGAGATCCGATGGTGGGGAATACGTCATTGGTGATGAAGGCCTCCTTCCTGTCGCTGTGGGATCCCACCGTGCTTGTTTCAATCTTTCACTGGAACCATTCGGTTTTATATGAGGGTCTTTTCTAAAGGACTTAGACTGTGAACGCTCATGTGACGGTCCAGGATTTGAGACTGAATTTGCAAGTCTAACATCGTCATCAAATACAGATGGTAGTAGGGACTGGCGTCTTGGAGGTATTTGTGAGGGGGCCAAGCTGCGCTGCTCTCGGGGGCTGCCGAAATAGGGGCTGTCATTGGTGACGAAGCTTGGTCCTGCCGGCATGGATGTATCATGATACTCTATCCCAGCCGTTGGATACGATGGGAAAACAACGTCAGACGGCGATTCCGCGCCTTGTGGGGGGTCAGGTAAAGCCTTCCCATCGGCGCGCTGAGATGATAGACCAAGCCTTTGGAGCTCGGCTATCCGACTCGTATACGTATTCCGCTAGGTGGCCCTTATGTTAGTAATTGAACCCATGAATAGACCCTTAGACAAACACAAAAGACAACCACAATAACAATTAATATAAAATGGACATAGAGGGGCCCCACGTACAATCTCCTCTAACTTCTGTTTCTCATCATGACCGCCGCTGTGATGCATCACATGCTGCAGGAGCTGGCAAGCATCATTGTAAGCATCGATGGCTCCCTCGTAGTTCGTAGCATTATCGAGGAGGACAGCGGCGTTGGCCTTCTGTAAAGCTTTGGAAAGCATTGTTTTTTGAGACGGTCCTCGAATTTCGCGGTCTTGTAGTGGTTCTCTGTTCATTGAGATAGGAACCCCCGATCTAGGTCAGGGCCACCACGTGGGGTACGAGAGAGGAGATAAGAGTTAAGAAGTTTGGCGCAGAGTTGAGCCCAGAAGCATTAGCCTGCAAAGCAACTTCAACCTCGTCTGAAGGAGCATAAAGACGGTCCACCTTGCGGAAAACTCCTTTTGTGCCGGGAGAGGAGGCCGGTCCTCTTCAGCGACTCTCGCTGGGGGGCGCCCTGGAGGGATTCAGAGGTAACGTGGTAGATATCCAATCGCAGGTAATCAACGGACGAGTCAATGGCAAATCACAAGCCGAGGGAAATATTTGCCGGGAAGGCTGCACGTCTGGATAGTGGTAAGCGGTGTAAGACAAGGGACACGATAGGTGGGTTTGATCGAAGCGCAGTTCGGTGACAGCTGAGAATTCTCATGGGGAACAATGGCTCGAAGGCTCATTATTTGGCAGGACGGGAAATCATTGTTGAGTGGGGGGAAAGACGGGGAAAGACGACGTCAAAGCTAGGCCTTTCAGAAAGGCTGGTAATGGCGGGCGGTGGATGGGTTGTTGCGGGCTGACGAAACTTCGATGATAGGATAGGTGATTAATGTGGTTATGATCTGGGCGATCAACAAAACTAACTAGTACTTTAGTCGCACTTTTTGCAAAAAGCCTCCCCTGAGAACGGGTATTTAAAATCCTGTACGGACGACAGCACGGAGGACTGTACATTTTAAATAGCCAGAGGCTGTTGGGGGAGGGAGGAGGTATTGAGATATTTTTCCAAACGAATGCAGTTGGACACACCTAGTTACGCATCTCATCTCAATTCTGACAATCATGCTGGAGGCCGAACTTGGGCGGGAGAAGGGCCACCAACAATTTCTCGTCACGTTTTACAGTTATTTTGACACAGAAAAATTGAAAAAATTAACACACACACTCACACATAATACTACACTGCCAATGGGAATAAACACCGTAAAATTATCTCAAAAAGAAGAAAGAAGAAAGAAGAAAAGAAGAAAAGAGGACGAGGAGAGAAGGACACGCTTATCTTCTGGTCAGCAGTCCAGGTACAATTACCCTCCTCCTAAACCATTCTCTCGATTTACTTCATAAATGAACTTGAGTAACAATAACAAGCCATCAGTCGAGTATATTCATTGTGTCTGGTCCTGGGAAAAGGAGGTAGGTTCAATGTGTTGTATATGGGTTTCTCTCTCGCCGTGATCATATTCTATTTGCTCACTGTGCTTAGCTACAGCTTGGACAGGTATTGCTACTAGCAGTGTCATCGGCATATGATGATATTGTAAAACAATACTTCAACTAACTTTGCATGGCTTCTTTTGCATTTATCACATGTTGAAAAGTATAACTTGTTACACACCTGTTTTTATTTACAATGCCGTTTAACAGCACGGGGTGGGATTAAAAAAAAGAAAGAAAAAAAAAAAAAAAAAAAAAGATAAAGAGGCATTGGCTCCTTCTGCTTATTCTTTGATATTCGCGAAGTATGCTATTTACTTTCGGTACCACATCCGAGTAATCCTAGTGTGCCGCATCTTCTTCTGCAGCTGGAAAATACCATACATAAGGGCTTCTGAGGTTGGAGGGCCTAGAAAACATAGTTGTTAACAGGCGCTATTGTCAGCTGAAATCATAAGATATAACACTCACATCCGGGAACATAGATGTCCACTGGTACTATCCTATCACAGCCTCTTGTGACCGAGTAGCTATAATGGTAGTAGCCACCGCCATTGGCACAGCTTCCCATGCTGATAACCCACCGAGGATCAGGCATTTGGTCATAAACCTGTCTTAATGCGGGTGCCATTTTGTTGGTCAACGTTCCGGCAACGATCATCACGTCCGATTGTCGCGGAGACGCTCTAAAAATAATACCCAGGCGGTCCTGATCGTAGCGGGGAGTCGACAAATGCATCATCTCCACGGCACAGCAGGCTAACCCGAATGTCATGGGCCACAAGGAGCTCTGTCTTGCCCAGTTTGTGACTTGGTCAAGTGTTGTCCTGTTGGTATGGCGATTAGTCCACCTCTTGAGCAAAATCAGGGAGTAGCATCTGAGTAATCCGGCAGCCATACAGCGCAAATTGCATAGCCCCAACCTTCTTTTCCTGACTGGGCAAAGGTACTTCTATTCGCGGTTTTCCCGATGGCATAAGCCGATATTCATGTTTCTCGACTGCTGTAGAGGCATTGCGGATTGAAAGTAGGGCGCCGGGGGCTATCGACCGCTGCAAAAGCGGTAGCGGGATCGGAAAGGCAACTTCGCGCGGATGAAAATTAGCATCATATCCAGACATGTCCAGGCTTAGAGCTCTTACTATACGGTGCCACCCGCATTGGTGCCTGCCTTAAGGAAAGCATTGGGAAATTATTTGCCCTATGGATGAAGGTCGCGAGGGGTAGGTAGAGGTGATGCAGTTTGACCGTCGGAGGTGGGAGATTGGATGGGAAGTTTTGGAGCTGCTGTCCAAAATCTTGGAAATACACGCCATTTCATAACATACAATCAATACACACATATGCATTTGATACGTCTTGTACGGATGACGCCGTATTACATTACCGGAGTGGCGCAGAAACATTTCCATACAGTGCCAGGGCCATACAGCAAGTGGACAGTCTTTTGACAGTGCAAACCTTCATTATTGCCATCTTTCTCTATATAAATAGTAATCTGCTGGGTGTTCTGACATTACTTTTATTACTTATCTGTGATTTTTATGATGTTGATTATCATGTCACCTCAGCAGTTGTATGAAAAGCGGTACTAAGAAGATTGTGCTGCTCAGATTCAATTTATACAGCTAGAAAGCACAATATATAATTACACTGTACATTTACATAGATTTCTGTTTCAAACTTACTTTAAAGAATGTCTGCTGATCAGACATATTTACTAAATTAATAAAATATTTAAAAATTCATTTAACTAGTTCTTTGTGGCGGGCTGCGCCCGATCAATCATATAGACTATTCCATTACACTCCACAGATTCCGCTGAAAGCTCCGATCCTCGGTCGCTGATCCTCAGCTGAAAAACTCATGGAATTCCTATTCTTCCGCCCTGAAGCTTCACTGTGTACACATATAAATATCCACTCTGATTGCTGATTCTCACACTTTCTCTTTCTTTCCTTCTCTAACATTTTTCACTTTGTTATATAAGATCTATATATTATACCAATCTATTCAGTGTAGGCCTCTTACACTTGAAAAATATTCATTGTCTTCTTATTAGAAACAATTATTCATGTATTATCTTCTCATTAGAAATGATTATTCACTGAGATATTTAAACATGTAATAACATGTAAGAAATAGAGAAACAGTTAAACAGTTAAGTAAATACTGAGTTCTTAGATAGAAGCTTACTCATCAGTCACTCTGACTCTGTAATAAGATCTTATAAAGAGAATATCAGTAAAAGATCTGAGAGTTCTGATACTACAGATATATAAGATATTCATATAATTACACTTCTTTCAATTTCACAGATATCTCATATTTAATAAATAATATAATCATGTCTAATAATAATATAAGAGAACTCTTAAATGTAAGTATAGAAGTAATATCACAGTAACTCTAAGTAATATTAAAATTACAACAGTAACAGATAGCTGATATATATACAACTTAACAACTTTAATATGAGAAAATTCAATAATTAATTCAATAAGAAACTCATACAATTTCAACATTTATAGAATTAAATATAAAAGTACTGAAAGAATGCTTAGATACTCATACTCATACTGAGACTGATCTGACTTCACTCTCTGAGAAAAACTCTATATCATCTTCTAGAGTGTGTACATCTCTATCTTAGCAGAAATCTGAGATTTCTGAACTCACTGCATACTTTGACATGAGTTCTTCAACTGTTCTGCCACTGCTGCGGCCTCTACACATCTATATCTATTATAAAGATAGAGAGATTAAGATCAGAGATTCTCTGAAATATAAGAGAAACATATTATCTGAATTTCACAGCTTTATCTGTACTCTTGAACAGAAATTCTACCTTAATCTGAGCCAGTATAATACTCATAAGATATAAGTAATATACACTGTCAACCTTCTTGAAGACATCTCTGCAACTACTTGAGTTATTAAGAAGAGAAAGCTTGAGTGTACTGATACTGCAATAACTTGAGAAGAATTCAAGAACTTTCTACTGAATCAAATCAAAGATCACTGTAATTACAGCTTCACAGTGACACAGCAGTTCAACTCATTATATTAATAAGATAATGAGAATTCTTTCAATTTCAATACAAGATTTGAAGAATATTGAGAGAAATTAACTGATAATTTGAATTAATTAAAGACATAGCTTTATCTCATAAAGCTGACTTATAAGATGCAGATAATAATATCACAGTATCAGAGTTTATTAACTAATCACACTGAGCTTGTCAACCTGACTTTCTGAATCTATTTGAATAATTGATTCTCTGAGAAAAAGATTAATAAGACTCTTTCTAAGTAATTAATAACAGAATCTAAATAATGCTGTGATAGCTTCAGTGTAAAGAAAGTAAAGAAGAATTTCAAATATTCTGATTCTTTACTCACTGTGAAGAAATATTAAAAAAGATTTGATAAAGATCTCTATTTTAACTGTGAAGCTGATAATTACTATATCAGTGATTATAAGAAGTTGAAGAAGAGAAGAAACTGAGAAGATATCTTCTCAAAGTTAACTTCTCTTCTGACAAATGTATTCACAGAAGATAAAGAAGAGAAAGAAATAAAGAATTAATAATTCTTATATCTCTGAGTTTATATTACAATTATAATGAATACTCTGAATGAGAAGATACTAGTGAGATATCTACTTAACTCTGAAATGAATATTAACTTCATATTCTATTTCTTTTCTTTAATAAAGAGTTGAAAGAAGATAGATCTGTCAGACTATGTGAAATTTATCAATGAAATAAAGTGTCATTATTTTGATATAATTTAAGTAAAGTATATAATCATAGACTCAGAAGAAATCTTTAAGAAAAGCAGTCTGCTTCTTCACATTATTAATATTATAGATGAGAATGTTATTCTAGATCTTTCATAATTAAGAGAAAACAATTCTCTCATTAACTAAGTTACTCAGACATGACAGTATCATCTTACTGATGAAGAGACAGTGATAGAGAAATCTGAAGAGTTTCATCAGAAGAATCTTGAGAAAAAGATAGAGTCAATATACTGTGTAGCAGATAATTGAGACTTGAGAATAAATGAAGAAGTCATCATTCTTACTGCAAGATTGCAGCAGTATTCATCATTGAAAACAGATATATACAATATCTCTTTACAGATTATAAGAATATCTTTTCAGAAAGAGAAGCAGTGAAGTTTTCTGATATCAAGATATAATATAAGATTTACTTTGAAGACAGTGTAATAATACTGTACAGATCTCTTTATAACTTGTCTGTAAAGAAATTGAATGTTCTGTACAGATATCTTGAAGAAGTGTAATTAAAGAACTGAATATACTTATTAAAGAGTCTGACAGAGATGTCTATACTCTTTATACTCAAGAAGAATAGTAGACTACATCTATATATAGACTACAGAGACCTTAACAAGATAACAGTTAAGAATCACTATTTATTACTATTAATTAATGAGATGATTAATCAATTATCTGAAGCAAAGATATTCTCAAAGATTAATATATAGAATATCTATCATAGAATCAGAGTTAATGAAGACAACATTTAAAAAACAGCTTTTTATATTAAGTATAATAATTTTGAATATCTTGTTTTATCTTTTGATCTTTGTAACACTTCAGTCATCTTTCAGATCTATATAAATAAGACACTGCAGAGTCTTGTTAACATCTTCTGTATAGTATACTTAGACAACATTCTAATCTTCTCAAAAACAGAGAAAGAATACAATACTCATGTTTAAGAAGTATTAAGTTGCTTAAGACAGTATCAACTTTATATAAACACTGAAAAATACTCATTCTATATACAGAAGATTGATTTCTTAGATTATAGTATTAAGATAAACAGTATTTCAATGAATAGAAGCTGAGTCTCTGTCATTAAGAACTAGCTGACACTGTGAACATATTATAAGATGCAGATATTTCTAAAATTTATGAATTTCTACAGATAATTCATTTATACATATTCATAGATTACTGCCTCTCTTACAGATCTGTTAAAGAGAAGTATGAAAGACAGAAAAACAGAATCATTTATTCTTACTCAAGATATTATAGAGGCATTTATAGAATTGAAACAAGCTTTTATAAATATTATAATACTGAATCACTTTAATCTTAACTTACTCAGTCAGTGTGAGACTGATACATCTGAGAATAAAGTCTGTGAAATCTTTTCACAGTTGATATCAGAGATCTTTCAATACTGAAAGAATCAGAGAATAATTATCTCTGAAGATACAGATAATAAAATATCTATAAAAGAAGACTTTTTCACAGAGTCTATAAGACACTGTAAATAGAGATCAGTGACTTTCTTCTTTAAGAAGTTATTACTTATACAGAGAAGATATAATACTTATGATTAAGAGATGTTAGTAATTGTTAAATTCTTTAAGATCTGATAATATTATCTTCAGAGTAGTAAGTATTCAGTGCAAGTTCTCATTAATCATGTAAATCTGCATTACTTCTTGATAATAAAGAGCTTGATAGAATATCAAGTCAGATGAGTAAAGCTGCTTTCAGAGTATGATTTCTATATTCAATACTGTTCAGATTGACTTAATCTCACTGACATGCTATCTAAATAACTCAATTATAATATTATTAATATAAAGAAGAATTTTATAAAAGAATCTCTGTTATCACTACAGAAGAAGCTAACTGCAGAGAATTAAAATTCTCTGAAGCTCAGAAACAGCATCAGTAAGACAGCTGCATGACTCAGTATAGAAGATGAAAGAAAACTCAGATCTCTGCAGAGAACTGACACTGAAAATCATCAGCTTCTTATATTATATCTTACTATCATTGAATTGATAAAGAATGAAACAGTCTACAATCTTTCAATCTAACTACTTTTGAAATTTATTAATAAATTATAGAAGAGAGATATCTTTACTACAGCTTGAATTCATAAGCTGAAGAAGAAAGAATTTAATTTAAACTTGAAAGAGATAGACTCTGAGTAGAGCAATGCTGCTAAGAAATCAAGTCACTGATAACTAGAAAAATATGAACTTCTACTGCTGAATAATTCAGTCTTTATCTCTTATAGCAGAACAGTGCATCAGAAGTTATTAAGAATTCATTATAATAATTCTTATATAAGACACTTCAGATTAGAGAAGACTGAGAAGATTTTAAAATATAAATATATTTAAGACAAGCTTTGAACAGATGTTAAAGAGTATATTAAGACTTACAATATCTATTAAAAAATAAAGATTTCACAGTATAAGTAATACAGTGAGTTAATATCACTGTCTATTTTAAAGAGCTTATAACAGAATCTATTAATAGATTTCATAGTTAA